TTCCGTTACAGCGCAGGGCTTACAAGTGCTAGAGAGCGCCTTGCTCTACAGAGGCCTAATGCTTAGTTTCTCATTTATCATAGTTAGATTTGCCCAGAAGTCCCTGATTAGGTCGTCTGAGTTTAACGAGACATATCCAAACCTAGACTGGGAAATCGCTGCACATTGATACAGCTTAGATTCCAACAGTGATAACAAAGGCTGGTGTCTGTCAGAGCAAGTCAATTAGGATATTCACTTTATCTTAAAGGTCCCCTATTATACTGTTTTTCATCAATATATTATAGGTCTCAGATATATACAAAACATGTCTCTGTAGTGTTTGGCTCGAAATAAAACTGATCGTGCATTGTAGCATCCCATAATCCCCTCTGTTTCAGCCCTGTTTCAAAAGTGCTGATTCTCTGTCTGTTACTTTAGATGAAAATAAGGAGCCACTCCCCACGCCCCTCTGAGAGATATATATATATTTTTTTTTAAATGGTGCTCTAGGAGGAGATTCAGGTGATAAGGTGGAGGTGTTACCTTGGTTGGTGATTGGCTAATGGTTACACAAGCCAAAAAAACGTTATGACATCATAAAGTGGCCAAAATCTGATCAGCTCATTTTCAGACAGGTTTTTATATAAATGGATCAGGACAAAAAGTGAGCAAATATTTTTTCCTGAAACTTTCAGAATCTCTTTCCACAGAGGGGGCACATGTTTATGTATAAAAAAACATGAAAAAGTGGATTTTGCATAATAGGTGACCTTTAAAGGAAGTGATTTTCTTTATAAAATACTTCAAATGATTGTCACAGAACGTTTAAACACTATCCTTCACACTATCTTTCTATGCTCAATTATTCTTTTAGCCTGGTTGGATACTTCATGTGGAGAAACGGGGGAGTCGTGCAGAGCTTGAAGTTGAAAACCCATTTGTGACTACTGACTGAAAAATTTGTTTTTTTATAATCCGCCAAATAAAACTGATCCAGCATGAGTAAGGAAACAAAGTATTCCTCTTAATAACATTTGTATTTCTCTTCTTTAACTGATGTTTAAAAATGTATTTGTTTATTCCTCAAGATTTGTTCACCAGTGAAAGCTCTTGATATGGATGTCTGAATCCTTCGTTGTCACATCACAAGTTTTAATTCACACACAAAAAAGACTGGATGTGCAATTATGTCATCAATAGAAACTCATTGCACATTTGCATATAAAAGCTCTTCATATGCTGTCATGGACCTTTTTGTATAGGTCGTACACAGCACTCACCTACACATAAGACCTCCTGTTTGCCTTTGATTGATTAGGCACCAACTCTAATTCATCAAGCCTGTTGCAATTAATATATCTCACACACCGCAACATTTGCTTTACTCGCGTAGAAGCAGAGCAAACACTTGCAATTAAGACCACATGTGGGGAAAATGATGGAATGTGTTAAGAAAACACCAATGAGATAAGTTTCCTGGGGTTGGCTTGGTTGTATTTTCTGAATTAGAACGTTCACAACAGGCATTGTGTTTGCAGAGCTTTGACATTTTAAAATATATTCCATTTAGATAAGACACTGTGCAATTCCCGGTGTTATTTCCCTTTACAAAGACAGACAGAAGAGGCTGACAATGTTGAACAGATACAACAGAAACATTTGATTAACAGAAGTGGCATTTAGTAGCTGGCATTCAGGATTAGCTTGAAGTGTATTCATTGTCTTTCTGTCTGCATTTGTCCAATCTACTGACGGGCAAATCCGACACTTTCTTCAAATCAACATATTTTCTTTCAAAAATATATTTCTGCTTTTTTAGCCAGGAAACGGCAAGACATAAACACAACATATATACAGTATTGTACCCGTCGTACAAATGCGGAAGAGTTAACAGATATATCTCTGTCAGAGCTTTAAGACCATGGGTGTCCCTCGGCTGTAACAGCGGGAATGTTGTATCTTCTTGTTGATTCTTGGTGTCCCTACCTGATGCTAACGTCCTGTCAGTCAGACAGAGCCCTGCTGTAGGCTTGTCCCATGTGTAATGCATTTTAAATGGAGGGCAAGACCCCCCTATCCCCTCCCTTCTTCCATGCCTCATTAACATCCAGCTGATTGATAAACATTGAGCCGCTGCTGTCACTCGGACGGCTGGTTTGTGGAATTAGAACGAAGCATGATGTATTGGTTCATCGCCCCAATGGGATGAGATGAACCTACAGGTGTTGTCCGCTGGGTTACATGCATTAGAATGTTTTCTGTACATTTGTTTCAACCCTTGTCTCAATTATGTAAATGGTACCTCTGTACTGTGCTGTATTGCATGTGTGTAGTGCAGATTGCAACTCTAATGTGTGTAGTTTATCATGTTCTAGCCTATTCAGGGATCAGTTTGTCTCAAAGCAATAGCCAGGTGCCCATATAACATTGGATTAGCTTTTCCCTTCTGTTCATACTAAACAATAAACATTTATCCTTAAACCACTTCCAAGGTAATTGATGGTGGAAATACTTTAGTCATTACGCACAGGGGTTAACTGCTGTTGCCAGGAAACTGTCGAATGTTGGCACACATTACAACCCGTGCTGTGAAACTACTCGCCATGTGAGTTAGCAGCCAAGGAATGCTGGCTCTAAGTTAACCTTAGTTAAGTTCAGCTAGGCTGAGGTTACCAACCAAAGAATGGTAGTGGGATACCTCTCATTAAGTACCACTGGCCTCACATTTAGATCAGTCATCTGCATGACACCACTGGCCACTCAGTTCTATTTCTGAGATGTCAGTGATGGCCAAGCCTACAGGAAATTGGAGAACGTGCAAGTAACAATGAAGAAAGGGACTATAAGTCATCTTCATCTACCATTGCTAACAGTGCAAGACTACCTCATTCAGTTGGACTAAGGTGAAGTTTCTTGGTTCCATGTGTCCGCAACATGTTTTCATGTTTCATTCCCAGACTCTCCCAGAGTGTTACAGGCCAGCAGTGAAGCAAACACAATCACCACACTGGATTGTCCTTTGTGGGCAGATGTTGAGGTTGACTGTCCAACTGAGAGTGCAGACCTAATTAAGACTGAAGAAACACATCATTTTATTTGGCGCTCTCTTCTCTTTGGCCTCGCTTTGATCCAATGATTATTACCAGCTCTTTGGCTCTGCTCTAGAGGGCGGGGAAGTATTGTATCTCATGCCGACAGCTCCCAAACAAAATAACCCCCCTCCCCAGGTTGTTACAGCTGACACTCCCAGCTGGGTTGTCAGCGGTGAGGTCAGTAAGAGAATCCAGCTGCATGCTGAGGTTTGTTCCTCTGCTGTGGATTAGCACCAGCCAACCATCTGCTGGTGTCCTGTAGTTTATTACTGTACATGCACTCGCTGTATGTACAATACATGGACACTCATCCTGACTTATACAAATCATGAACACAAATACACATGCTAATGCTGCAATAATCAGCCCAGGAGGGGGTCCAAGCCTTTTCTTGGTAACAACTGTAGGTGAAAAAAAGGGCAGCCATCATTGTAGATGGGCTGTAACTGTACAGATTTTTCATTGTCGTTGAGGTGACATTTCAGCGCAGTTTGGCGGTTATGTGGTATACCAAAATCAATCTTTTGAGTGTCAATGATAAATGACCTAAAAAGTCTTGAAAGCTCTTCAGGATCTCTGAAAGGTTTGTAGTTTGCTGCTCTTGAGGACACCAGATGTAGTGATATAAATCAGTATTAATACATTCTGTTCGTGAAATGCAATGTCAGATAGTTGTAAATGCATTTCCTTTTGGGACAAAATATTGAAAGGTTAATTATTGACCGTAGAAACAGCAGCTTGACAAATAAATGATATATACAATGTCCAACTTATTTGTTTTATCAGTGCAATTAATAACAACTAAACCTTCTCAGTGACAACTTAGCAACTCCCTTATGATGGTCATTAGATGTGATTTATAGCTTGTAATCAACAAGTAAGTGGGACCTTATCTCAAGATGTTTTTATAAAAAAAATACAAATGTTTTCTTCTTGCAGAATGAAAATGCCATTAGAAGGAATTAGCACATATGTCATAATGGCCTATTTTCCAAGAATTTGTTTTCCAAAGATCAGGACGACCACAGTTCAAAGTTGGTTAGAATACTGATGCCATTTTGTATCTCTTGGTAGCATTTATTCTTTTACCATTCCTCCTTGCAATTTTAAAGACTTTACAAATGGCTTTAAGCGCCATATATCTTCATATACAGAAGACATGCTTTTAACATCATGTTAAGACTACTGGGAGCCTTTGCTTCACAGTAAAAACCTTGCTAGTGGAAAGCTTTAATTGTGAAGTAGAGATAACAAAATTGAGTTTGCTTTGATGAAGACAAATGAGAAGGCAGTAGGTATCACATTAGCAAGGTATTGCTGTAATCTTTCTTGGCCTACATGGTAGTGACCCGTGAACAGGAAGAAAGAGAGAGCCGTGCGAAGGTTTGCCCGCAGCAGAGTTTCGTTGTGTTGATTTATTGAGCTTTCTAGATATAAACTGTAATGGATCGCTTGGTAACCTCAGAGAGTCACTTCGTAGTCTTATTGATTCCCGACTGTAACTAAAAATGACTCCTTCACTGCTTTCCTGTCAACATAATCTCCTCCTTCTCGCTTTCATCAGATAACTCTATTATGTCCACCTGCTCATTGTTTGCCATTGTCTGTAATGTGTGAGCTAATAACTGTTCTACCATATCACATGAAATGAGTTATGGATTGATATTGGATGCTTCTTTATGGTGCTTGCATATGATGTGAAAGTAAACAGAAAATGTAACGGCAGCCTTTAAAAAAAAAATCTAATTTGTTTTCTTGTAGCCTACAGGTGCTTCAATTCAATCTATACTAAAGCAGGGTTACATTTTAAATCACATCAAACTGTTTACTTTTCATGCAAGTCCGGCCTAAGACATTGTGATTGATTTTTCAGGATAAAGCCCCAGAGGGTCATTTCTGTTTGTTTTCTTTGTTTATTCTTTCTAGGGGGCTGTTTTCAAGTAACTATACAGAAACCCATTACCTAGAAGACGGCATTGCAGTCACCGGCTCGGACAACTTCACGGTATGTTAAGAACCTTTTATTTTCTGTTTCTTTATTGAAGCTGACACTTCTCTTCATTACCCACCCAGCAGCTCCTATGGATATCGGGCTGCTGTGGACCCGTACTTCCTGTCGGGTTCTGCTCCATTGTGCTTTCGTTAAGGTCAGCAAGGAAGTAATAAACCATTGATATCGCAGTTAGACCCACTTTTAAACCGCCAGGAATTGGGTCGTCTTGCGTTTATTCGAAGTATATTCATATTTGATGGAATAAAAGGCGAACAGAGGTCAGAGAGCCAACTCCGATTTATAATGGATGGACTTCAAACCATCTCAAAAAATGCTTTGTAACGCAGCTCTGCACGGATATATTGAACTAGTGAACATCTAAGTGCACTTCAGAAGTCACACTTACTATAAAATATTCATCACCCATCATTGCGTCATAAGACTCGTGCTTGTAAAACTGAGATAAGAGAATAAAATAGTTTTCAGGGTGCAACGTCAGATTTTCTAATGTATAATTTTCAAATATATTCTCTTTTGAGCAGTTTATGAGATAATTAATTATATATTTTACTTAATTTATATCCTGTTTCTCCAACCATACAAGAGCTTTGGTCTTAATTTCCTGTGATTTGCTTGGAATAAATATAGCTCATCTGTTCGGCTTTCAAATACAATGGGTCTTTGAAAACATATTTCATGCATCCATAAATGTTCCATACATTTCCCAGGTTAGAGAACAGCGAGACTATTAGGAAACTATGTGTAGAGCACTCTGTAATGAATGAGAATATTTGGCAGCACCATGTGGAACACTTTCTACGCCTCAAAGCTTCCGCCTGCTTGCCTGATTTCAGTGATTTGATCATCTGCTGTTTGGAAAGCAATTAAACGTCAATTTTTTGTTCAGATCTCTAGAAAGCATATTAATAGACATCCTGCGAGGTCTGTGTACAAAATGCCTGGCCTACTTATGCTGAAAATTCACAAAAGAGGAGATTAATATAATTCAATAATAGCCAGCCCACACAGTGAAAGGAACAATTATTTCCTCTTGAGACTGCAATGAGACCAGAGCTGTCGCCATCAGTGGCTTGGCTCTGTCACTCATCAGAATTACCGCGTTTCCAAAGGACAAAGACAAAGGAGTTGAGGCGGGTCAACTTTAGGAGACACTGAGAGGCAATAGCTGGCACATGGCATCAATGAGCGGTTGGATGGACTAATTGGTGTAGGGCTTCATTATCAAGATAGATTCATCACTAAGTCCTTCGAATATTTGGTGTTAGGGAAAAATGTTATCACCATGTCCAATAGAGTGGTGCAGGAACGAGTCCTAAAACCCGGAAGTGATGACACAAATTTAAGAGACGGATCACGTTTTGTTCTACGACATTAAATACATCAGCAGTGACCCCACTGGAGATTTTTGAAGAGTTTACGTGTCTGAAAAACGATGGTTGTTAACAAGTGGCTGAATAGGACTACAGAAGTTGTCGAGGACGTTGTACGCCAAACTCGTCATTACGGCGATTAGATTTATGATTCGAAAATGATAAAAGTAGGGTAGACGTGGATATTATCCGGCTGAACAAAACGTGCATTTATCAAACAGGTTCGTGTTCCACAGATTAGATTTTTTACAATATTCCAAAATCCTATGGAGAAATCCCATTGCTTTTTTGTCGAGGGAACCCATGCGCAGCTTACTTCCGGGTCGCCCTAACAAAAATACGTCATCACTGCACCACTCTATAGCCCAAGATTTTGCCTTTTATATTGATTGTTTTTTTTCGTGGATAAACAGCCCAAACTATCCAAATGATGAAGTAACGATGTAAAACAAAGGAAAGCAGCATATCCTCAAGTGTCATTTATGCCTCGTTTGCATCAATTCATTTCCTAGCCATAATCTTCTGAGCACCTGTTCTGCATTTGATGGATGGGTGGATTAAAACAGAATGGACGCACCGAAGGCTAGGCTGCCAGTATCTACCCTACTGAGTGTCTTGGGAACTAACAGACATCCTTTGACCTTCGTCCTTCCTCTCATTCCTCTCTCATGACCACAGCTTGGGAGGGTCTTTTTAACTGGAAACGGCCAGATCTTTTTGAGGCTGATCCAAAGTTAATTTATTTGTCCTGCCTGCAGGGAGGAGACTGATATAGTGATCTGGGCAAGTATCTGGAGGGTTCAGTTGTGTGTCAAAGGTAAGGTACTGTTGGGATTGACTTCAGCGTGAGTCAGCCCTCCCTCGGTTCCTGTTTTCGTCCTCTCCCTTTCTCACTAAAGTCCACACACAATGCAATAAACGAGTGCTGTAACAAACACCACTGGGGATATGAATCACTAGCATGGTTCTTAGAGCGTTAACTTAGAATAATAAATGCAGTATGATAAACCATGTGATGTTCACACCCGTACCTTGCCTCCTACAATAATCTGGGTATTAGTTATTAATCTTTCTTATTCCAGATATGAAGGCGTAAGCACTTTCCTTTCTCATTTATTTCTGCTGAAACAAAAAGTCTATTCATATCTTTCATATCGATGCATCACTGTCATGATCTCATCAAAGAAACATGAGGTGGTAGCATTAACTTGGCGCACTAAATCCAGCCCTGCTCCTCCTTGCTACACTAAAATGTCATATTTCATGTATTGGGCTGTCCTTTCTTTGCCTTTTTTACCTTGCTGTAATGGATGATTCTCTTTCAGTGCACCTCCAGGTAAATATATGGAAAGTGGCCAAACAGACAAAGCTCTCAAGGCTTTGGGTCTGTTTATTCAACGTCCTCTAAATAAGATATTGTCCTTTGGGCGGTAGGTTTTTGTTTTGACAGCTAAATCCATTTTTCAACCTGTCCCTAAAAAAATCATGTTTATATGACAATTAAGTGTATAGCCAAATATGTTTGAAGAAATGTTAGTGCTGCATGGATTATTTAGTGATATAAAGTCTTTCCAGTCCAATTGGCTTTTATTTGTAGTATTTTGACACAGTTAGTTGTGCAACAAAATGTATGTTTAAGTTCTTTGAATATGTTCTGTCATTCTCCAAAGTTCTCAAAGCAGTATTAATGTTTCTTTTTTCTTGTAAAAACACCATTGACATATTATCACTGTATAAAGTTGTTAATGCAAATGCACAATCTTAACAAAGAAGGTATCCAGCAGACATTAAGCAACATTAGCATTCCTTTGGGTTCATGTTTCTGGCAATCCAAAGTGTTTAGGTCCAGGAAATCAATCTCTGGACTGTGAAGTGTGTGGCTTTCTTAAAGATTCAGCTTCAATAAAGGCACTATCAATGCTGTTTATAGTGAGAACACTTTCATTGGATTATTTTGGTCTAATTGTAGAATCACTGTGAAAAAGTGCTGTAATGCAAAAATAGGAAAGGATCCCCTTTAAAACCAGAAACTCATTTAGACTCTGAACATGTGAAACAAGCAGTTTCTCGAGGTTAGCCACCTTGCATTGGGCCGGACATTTAAATTTACTGCCGGCACTCCTATATTTAGAGGGGTGTAAAACTCATTTCCTTGTTTTCCAGAACAGGGTGGCAGTAGGGTTGGTTAGACCTCACCTGAGCGAGGCCTTGTAACTGAAGGCTGTTTCACTCTAAACCAGACACTTCCTCCCCACCCTCTCACTGCCAGGCCTGGTTCAATAAACATGGGCTTTCTTCACTTTCGTTACTCTCCCTTCTGCAGCTTGACAGGTGGTCCTTGAAAGCTGGTACCTGGGAATGCAGCCGTATGCAAAGATTGTGCTGGGAAATATGATACGCTGCACAGATTTCAACCATCATCAGCCTGTTGGAGAGTGAATAGTTGCTTTCTAGCAAACAAAAGAGTCAATCTGGTCATATTTCACGGTGATCAGGGGGTACAGCTGTGACATGTTTCGTGCCACACTGGTGTCCCATCCCTTTGTCCTGAGTTTTAAATACTGAAAAACGTTTTGGTCTGTGCTCCTTCAGGCAAACTGCTACTACCCACGGTGAGGTGGAGGGACATGGCAACTCGGACGTCAGTCTCAGTACCTGTACTGGTATAAAGTAAGTCTGTCAGACATTTATTCATTTTGTCACGGAAAAAACAATGGTCTAGTGCAGGGGTCGGCAACAGGCGGACCGCGGTCCGGATCCGGACCCAGACGCCGACCTATACGGACCCGGACCTATAATCAATACATTAATAGGGGATTTCAATTTTGACGGGGCGATTCTATTTTAACCGCCGCCGACAGGGGGCGAAAGAGACGAGGTGAGCGATACAGGGAGAGAAACACAGAAGAAGAGATGAGAGAGCGGCAAGAGAGAATCGGAGAGGAAAGTGAGTGAAGTGAATAATTAGCGATACAGGAAGAGAAGCGGAGAGGAGAGTGAACAGGCGTGTTAGAGGCAGACAGGGAGAGACAAATAATTACACATGGCGCTCTCCAAGAAGAGGAAAGTGGACAGTGAGAACAGAGCTTGTAATCCTGAGTGGACGGACTCATTCATGTTCATCCTCCCCACTGGGAGCACAGAGCCAGTGTGTCTCATTTGTTCAGAGACCGTGGCGCACATTAAAAGTGCCAAAACGCCACTATGAGACAAAACACAAAGTGTTTGACCAAACATTCCCTCTCAAGTCAGAACGGAGGTCACAAAAAATAAGCAGTCTCAGAGCCCAATATGATCAGTCGACCAGGATCAAAATTAAAAACTAAATATCGTTCCAGGGCAGGCTAACCGAGGCTAACCATGAGCACCTGCATGTGTATGAGTACTCCAAAGTACTCCGGTGTGAACGCGCACCATTTCAGCCCAGATTTACAAACTCCTGGCAGGACAAGCTCGAGCTCAAAACTGGACCTCGTTGAATTTTAGTTGAATACCCCTGGTCTAGTGCCTTTGTGATAAACTACAGAAGTAGTCAGACAGCCCATATACTTGCCATTGTTGCATTAGTTCTTTCGGTACAAAAATACATTATTAACGCCATCTCTGGTACTTATTTTACATATATCTCCAAATTAAGTCTCCAAATTGTTGTTTACAACCTCTCACAACAATTATTTTCATCAGCACAATGACATCAAAACCATTCAAATTGTCACCAAAGCTATGAAAATCTAATCCAGGGTCGTAATAAACCGAAATTATGCCTTTAGTCGGACTCAAGGCCAAGTCATAAGTCTCAAGTGTACAACTCTGAGAAATGGCGTGTCAGCAGAACTCAGTAAATAATTAATTTTGCTACATTAATACATTGAGATGTCAGTCTTTATATACTGTTGAAAAGCAGTAAAGTTGACATATTGTAAGGCTTTAGACAAGTGAGGAATTTTTGCGTTGGAAACACTCTGTTTGCAGATGTCAAATCATATCATTGGACACCATCAGGAATGTTATCAGAAACCAGCCAAACTTCTACACCCTCCGCGGATGATTCGACTGATTGTAAAGCCCTCGCTTTGTTTTCAATATTTATTTCAGTTTTTCTATAACCTGTGAGCACAATAATATATGCACATAACTGTTTTTGACAGAGCTACACATTGCCCGGCTCACAGAGACAAATTGTTTTTGGTTTAAAGTTGGCAATGCTGAGGCTTCTTTTTTGGGAGGGGGTTAGTGTGAGTTCATTGGATTGTGAATATTGAAGGTCCGTGAGAATCTCAGAGTTTATCCAGATTCTCTGCATGAGGATGTCACTTTAAATTAGAAAGGCCACGGTTAAACCATGAGAAAAATTAAGGAGGAGGAAACAATGGGATTCTAAGATATACAACTCTATATATAATACTGCAGTCACCACATTGATGTAGCATCTGTAGTTTGTCACACCAAGTACTTTTCCCACAATAGTTCATGAGAACTTTAGTTCATGAGAACTCTTTTAGTTCTGATGAACTAAAGCAGATCGCGTTCACACCAAAATGAGTTCCTGGGGGTGGATTAGGCAAATGAGCCGCTGACGTCACTTCTTCTTCTTCTTCTGCTTTGGGTTTACTGGCAGGCCGCAAACAACTTCACGGCGAGTACAGTAGGTGGCGGTATGCACCTTAAAGTTGCAATCCGCCAAAAAACCGAGAGAAAAAGAAGAAGAAAAAACCTCCCCGTGCCCACTTGCTGTAAATGAGGCGTCTGTTTACCTTCCGACCTCAGACATGAGCTTCGTCTGAGTTATTTAAGCAAACACAAATACAGATCGTCGACCAGTCAAATGCAATAGCAATGCTGATTCGGAAGCGAAGGCGGTTAAGAAGGATTGACAAAAGGATTGGACTGCGACATGCACGCGCTACGCTACGTGTGAAATGAATAAACTGTGCCAGGTGTGTCGTATGCACACTAAATAGGCTCAGCAGCTAACACACCTTTATTATATATCCTCCTGAGAACAACTGCATCCGTCTGCCATGAACCCTACAGAAACCTACGTGTTAGTTTTGGCCCATAGTGGCCTCCATTTGTGTCGTGTAAAATGGGGGAAATCAAAAGTTAGCAAATCCCCATGTCATGTTCATAAAAACATTTAGTTTTAGGTCAAATAATTATTACACTGCTCTGAAACTCACTACACTAACTCCTAAGATGTTCCCTTACTATAATTAATTAAAAATATTGAACTCACAACACTGGTAATAACTTAACCATTTCTCTTTCTATAAATAAATAGTGCTTGTGTTGGACGCCATTTTGAAATACAATGAAATTATCTTTTGAAAGCCACAATAATAAAGCTTCGCCAGTTTATAACCGATGAAACCTGATGGTATCAGAATAATCACTTACATGTGATGTATCATGCTACACAGGTCACTGTAAAGATGAAGTGTCAGAGGAGAAATAAGCAAGCTTAGTTACATGAAATGTAATGAAAAATGTAAGATACAGGCTCCGTTTAATCGCCATGTACGTTACTTTTTTTTCAGCTAGATTTGCTTAACAATATTATTTGCTGCACATCTGATATGTTTTAGCACAATACCAGTGTTTGAATTCTGAAAACATGAACAGAATTGTCTCACCTTTCCTTTCTCCACAGGGGTTTCATAACTCTTGAAGGCAAATCCTATGTACTGGAACCATCTGCTGATCACTCCGATGGGACTCACTGGATCTACACAGCTGAACACCTCAATTTCGCTCCTGGCACCTGTGGCCATGATTTCAACATAACCTACCCCATTGAACATGCAGACAGCAGTCCGTTCAGGGCTTTCAGCACAAGGGTAAGGATCATTAAACTGTCTGCCTTTTATCACCGGTAAACTGACGATTTCAAAGAAAGTTTCTGTCTTCAAGATTTCTTACTTATTTTTTCGGCATTTGTGCTTTCATAACTACTTCATAGCAAATCACCAAAGTTTACTACTGAGAAGACATTTTCTTCAAGCACTCTCAGGTACAACAAAGGGAACATCTGCAACCTGGTGGCGGAAGTGATTTTGTGAAGAGTTTGCATACCCTTCCATTCTGATGAAATAATATTTACTTCCTGTGGATCGTCTATATAGTGAACCAGGTGTAATCCATTTATTTTCATTATTTCAAACGTGAGGTGAGAGTGTTGAAAAATGTAATATTTTCCAATTACAACTTTTCTAGTCTCCGGTATATTTAATAACTAATTAAGCCCTGTATGCTCTTTCATTCAGCTTTCCGTTGTGTTTTCCATTCAAATGTTTAATTTGTAGTCTCAATCCCACTGTGCTATGAAAAGGCTGTGATGCAGAAAATCTTGTATTAACCAGCTACGGTGAAGAAAGTTATTTTCTTATTATCCACGCCAGGAGGGAAGAGTATAATGCGTCTGTGACGTGTGTGTGCGTGTGTGTATTTGTTTGGGAGGAACACACCTGGCGAAAATTAGTTCTGTACTGAGTGCACTCTTATAGTTGGAGCATGTACTTCAATTCCAACTGCATACAATATAAAAGATTGCTCACCTTAAACCTCTTTGAGAGATCATTTGCAATGTAGATATTGGTAAGTGGTCTGTTACATATTTTAGAAGCTACTACTTGTTGAATTATTCACCCATTCTTTCCATCTGATCTAGCATTGTCCATTAGTGACGCTCAGTATACTGAGAGCCCAGGTTGATAAACGCCTGTGGAGAGTGCATTGGCTGCTAAGTGACACCATTTGCTCTGAAAAGCGAGATCAGGCTTGTACATCATGGCTTCAGCAGGACCCGTCCATCCAGAATTAAACCGATTGCTTTTTAGAAAACCCCACCAGACCCACGTCATACACTCAGCTCCTTACTATCCCACTGAGCGGAGAGATAAATCATAAGAGCCATGGTCATAGAGACTCTTTATCTTCAGAGGGAACAGGCCTTTAAAGATGACGAGCGTTGATAAGTGGAAAACAAAGACTCCAGTGATCTCTATCTGACTACTGAAGGATGGCAGGAGTGGATGAACATGGCTGATTTATCAGGTCAACACAGGAGACACACAGATAGGTGGGGTAAAAGATGAAACAGATGTTTCTCCGAGGAGGAAAAGCACACATTCCATAATTGTGATGCAGTATGAGGGACTTTCCATTTTCTTAAATCTGATTTGTATTGTAGCAATTGTTTAGTCATTTCATTAAGGTTATATTGAAATTGAGTATTGTTTCAGAAAGCACGCCAAACACATGGCTTTGCTGGCTAAAACATAACATTGTTAGGTTTTATTTATTCATGAAGTAATAGGGATTTTCTGATGTTTTACTGTAGCTGTTGATTCCTGTTGATGATTATAGAACTGGCTTCAATGAGCAGCATTTTATTTTTTTGTTAAGAGGGCTGCAAAGATTTAGCGCAAGTAAAGAAAACAGCACAATGCAGAAGGGGAAAAGGTGACTCAAGTAGGATCATATTGCTAATTTCCACCAGTGTGAAAAAGATAATTTGATTATAACTCATAAGGGTTTACTCATCATACTTTAATATGTTTTATCTGATTCAATTTTCATTAGTTTGAAATATCATGTCCCTACCCCTCCTAACCCAGCAACATGCCAGAGTTAGCAGGGAAAACATCTCTAAGTGAAGACAGATGCTGCTTTTAAGGGAGGTGGACACACACGGTAATCCCACAGGTGATTAAAAAAGTGAAAACATATCAAACACACAAGGAATTCTTTTGAAAAATGGTCACTTCTTCTTACCCGAGGAGCAAAAGGCCTTGTTAGAAGCATAGAGAAAGTACACAAAACAGTATGAATATAAAGTCTGCTTTGCTGTACCTGGTGGCATACAAGCAAACTCACCTCCTAACATGAGGGCAGCGAGGTGTACTGCTGCTGCTTTGATAAGCTGCGCTGTGCCCTGCTTGAGTGTTTCAAGATAAGGAGGCGAGCTGGCAGAGTGCCCCTGGATGATGAGAGTCAGATGGGGTAGAGAAGGGAAGAGAGAGATATGATAGCTAGCTGACAGGAAGTGCACGTCAACAGCATGAGTACCTGCAAATCTCTATTGGCGTCAACAGCGCCTAAACAGAACATGTATTAACATTTTGAGTAAGGGTTAAATACAGACATAGGGCTGCAAGTCACCAATATTTGTATTATCCATTAACTCCCCATTGTTTTCAAGATTCATCAACAAATTAACTGGTGTATAATATGTCAGAAAAATAGTTTAAAGTCCAAACCTCTAATGTATTCATTTTAACATCATAGACTCAGCTATTAGTTGACTAATCGTTGCAGCCTAAACGTTCCCAGGGATAAGACTCCAATCAGAAAGCTGCATTATACCGTTTTTATCTTCATCCACACCTGAGCCAGCTCCATTTGCTTAATGAAGACAATGTTCAATGTGCTTGAAAGCTTTCATGCTGGTAAGCTGGCCTTTGTTCTTAAATTCTCTTCATAAATGGTAAAAGAATACCAGCCTCTTTCTTCACACCTTAATTCTGTGATATCGAGCTAGCAGTGGAGTGGAAACAGGAACTGAGGGAAGAACATTTTGTCCATTTATGTAGAAGTGAAGCTGTTAAATAATTGAATATATTAGTAGTCGATTTTATTTAGATATATCTACTGAATTGAGTCCAGAAACCAGTTTTTCATTTTCAATTGTTACTTTTATCGAGAGACAAAGAATAAAACGTCATGTGAAATAAGTCATGTTTACTTCTGACTAATCTGTTATAGAACAGTCATGCTCTTCAGTGAGTTGATTGAACACGGTGTCCGTGTGTGTGTCCTCTCCAGTGGCCTCCTGGAAATGTCACCATAGGGTGCAATTGGATCACACTAGCCCACCCTAGCTTATCTATGGAGGAGGCAGATAAGAGCGGAGAGGATCCAGGCTGCCAGGCCAGCACGGATAAAGAGGCTCAGGTTGAAAGTGGGCCATAGTGTGCAGAACACTCAGCCAGCAGGGTGTGTGTGTGTGTGTGTGTGTGTGTGTGTGTGTGTGTGTGTGTGTGTGTGTGTGTGTGTGTGTGTGTGTGTGTGTGTGTGTGTGTGTGTGTGTGTGTGTGTGTGTGTGTGTGTTGTGTGTGTGTGTGTGTGTGTGTGTGTGTGTGTGTGTGTGTGTGTGTGTGTGTGTGTGTGTGTGTGTGTGTGTGTGTGTGTGTGTGTGTGTGTGTGTGTGTGTGTGTGTGTGTGTGTGTGTGTGTGTGTGTGTGTGTGTGTGTGTGTGTGTGTGTGTGTGTGTGTGTGTGTGTGTGTGTGTGTGTGTGTGTGTGTGTGTGTGTGTGTGTGTGTGTGTGTGTGTGTGTGTGTGTGTGTGTGTGTGTGTGTGTGTGTGTGTGTGTGTGTGTGTGTGTGTGTGTGTGTGTGTGGTGTGTGTCATTCACCTTTTTCCGTCCATCCTATTTTCAGCCATGCTAGCCGTTTAGCTTGCTCTGTCCGTCTGTGTTCAGACATTAATTGTTCGAAGGACGAATTTCCCTCTGTGATACACATCTTCTACTTTTCTCTTTTGCCCTAATAATGAGTGTACGATTTGGTTATAATTCTCTGCACCTGATTCCTGCTTCTTTGTTCAAAGTTTGGACTGTGATCCTGACCACACCAACAGAGATAAATATACACTAACAAATGTTATTTGAAAACCTTTACCATTTAAGAAAAGTGTGAACGTGCCTTCTTATATTTGGATATCATTCTCATTAGTCCATGCTCCACTGTTTTAGTTAGTTGATGGAGTCATTGTGGAGTTGTAATATAAATCAATACTTAGCATGTCACATGCTCTTTTAATTTTAGAAAGAAAAGCCGGGGGGGTTATACTGTTTAATGCCAATCCAGTGCAGGCATCATTGTCTGAAAACAGTGATTTATTTGTGTTGTCAGAGTAACCTGTGACCTTATTGGGTCACTGTGAGGTGTATCAGATTGCTTTGTGATGCTTGTGTCTGCTGCCTTAAGTGTAGAGTGGAAAGTGTGTATTGAGTGGCCTCCTGCTAAATCTAAGCCGCCCTTTCCAGAGAGCTGCGGTTAAGTGTGTCCTCCTAATGTCCTTCTTCTTCTTTCTCTGTTCTCTCTCTTCCTCTTTATCTCTCTTGGTTTATCACTTTGTCATTACCACATTTATTCCCTCTCCAATTTATTGCTCATTCTTGCCTCGTCACCACCTATTCTCCTTTCACTCACCCATGCAGCATAAAACGCCACGTCCAGACTACGACCAAGTATGTGGAGTTGATCATTGTCGCTGACAACAGAGAGGTAAGCAGAGGTCAAAACGTCCTGAACTATTCACCGTCTCCAGCCATATCCTCAGCTAAAAAGCTCAGAGGTCACCTACTTAGCTGACCCTCATTCCCCTTGAGACGTAGATAAGATGACTCCAACCTTTACATTGTTTCGCCTTTAGTGTGTCAATTTACTCATATGCTTGCCTGTCCTACTCCCGTATACATAATTTGACCACACTCATAAATGAACCATTCCATTATTATCTAAAATCTCAGCCTTAAGATCAAGGGCAAAGAGAAGAAAGTGTAGGTCAATGTCACAAGCTTCAGAGCCACAGAAAGTGAATGAATGCTGGATAAAAGACAAGGTGGTTGAGGTTATCTCTTAATCCGAAGCTCCACTCAGGAGCTCTTTGATGATAGCAACTGCAGTGGAATCAACACGACACTGTGAAGACATTTCCAAAGCTAGTGCAGTGTTGATATACGATGCAGTATTGATATACTTCCCAAATAATGTCTTTGATGGAAATAAACATTCAAGAGGGCGGATCACCTCTCTTTCCCCTTGCTTTACTCTGTCTGTTTGTGTTGTTCAGTTTCAGAAGCAAGGCAAGGACATGGAGAAGGTCAAGCAGCGGCTGGCTGAGATCGCCAATTACGTGGACAAGGTAACAATCAAATCAACAGGGGATTTGGTGTAAGCGTCTGATTTATTAGAGGTCACATCAAGCCTGCTGAGAATTAACCGACCTGCGAGCAGAGGCTGATTGGATTATGAATGGACGATCAATTCCATAACTCGGCTGAGAAATGTTGTGAAGAGGCCGCTGTAATAATACGTTCCGTGGGTGGAGGTTTAATAAAACAAGAGAAACATGATTTATTCATACGGAAAATCATACGTAGATTAATGGTTAAGGATTTGTTCAGAGCCTCTCATCATTTTTAAGCAACTTCTGTACAGCATTTTTGTTTAAATAAGTAATGTACAAAAGAAGAACATAAATGTTATGAGAGGCAGATCATAAGCCCTTAACCTGAACATATGTCTCTCTCTCCCTCTCTACCTCCCCCCTCTCTCCTCAACATTCAGTTCTACAGGGCTCTGAATATCCGCGTGGCCCTGGTGGGCCTGGAAGTATGGAGTGATGTAGACAAATGCCCCATAACCCAGGACCCCTTCACCACCTTGCATGAGTTCCTAGACTGGAGGAAGGTCAAGCTGCTCCCTCAGAAGCCTCATGACAACGCCCAGCTGATCAGGTAGATCTGCAGTTGTAGCGTACAACTTGATAGGTGCGTTCTAAAAGTCACTATTTGAAATAGATGATATTATTTCCAAATTATTGAGAGCAAATAATGCAATTGTTTTGGATCGGTCTCTGGGTTTTATTAACTTGAAGCTAAATTGACTGTGATGTTTTGTAATATTAACTTGTGTTGTGGCTGTTCTTTTGAACTACCCTCAAAGGTGCCCTGCAGTGTGGATGGAACATAGACACCACACAGTTTTGTTGAAAGGAAAACAAATCTGATTTCAATTTGCCAAAATATTTCTAAACCAGTCCTATCCAATCCAGGCTTCATAAGATGCTTACAAAATACAAAATAAAAATGTTTTCTATTGTTAAAATGACATTGTGTAGTTGTTATTATCAGGTAAAGATGTAGATACACATATAGACAAAACTTTTAATTTTATTTAGTTTGTCTGTCTTTCTGTTGGTTGGTCTGCTCGCCACTTTTTTAGAACGTTACGCTGAAATGTGTTAGCTTTACCCCAAAGCAACCCCTACGGATATTTGGCGTGCAGGCCTAGTCAGTAGCCAATGAAACGATTCCAAACCATGCTAGTCGTGAAAAAAACCACTACTACTCAACATTTGCATAACAGCCCTTACACATTGCTCTATAGTTCACATCATTAGAAGTCAAAGACCCTCCAGAGGGCATTTACCTTGACAGTTGAAGTATCAAAGATCTGATGACCTTCGTTGTCTTCCCCTTAGTGGGGTCTATTTCCAGGGCACCACCATTGGTATGGCACCCATCATGAGTATGTGCACAGCAGAGCAGTCGGGGGGGATCGTCATGGTACGTACACCTATGCTCTACTGAATGTACTAACTATTATTCCACCCTGAAGCAAAAGGAGTACAAAATAAATATTTGGTGTGTTTCTGACTTCCAGAAAGTAGACCAGACGTATTTTATCATTTCCCTCCCCCTGCCCTCCGCTCTTTGCCTGGTTCTCCCCCCTCCCTCCTGTCTGACATAATACTCTCATATTTCTCCCCTGAGTCTCTTGTGTAAGGGTTGAGCTAAGGATTCCAGAGTTGATATTAACTTGTATTAACAGGGCACACACATCATTGTGACTTTTTTTCCCCAGGAAGGCTAAGTTAGTATGCATAGCACCCTCCACTTAGCGCTGATAAATCAAAGCGCGTATCGATTACACGAGTGGAAACCATTGCTTCTTAATGAAGTGCAACAAATTAGTGAATTTAAGGGTACTGCATATCCCCGAATGAAAACGTAGGTGCATGTTGTAAATGATCACCCATTAAAGAACTGCAACCCTATGTGCCCATGTCATGTTGTATTAGTGCAAGTCATGCTATTATTTTATACTCCATGTCCCTGAGTGGCTGTTTGTCTGGCTGGCTGGTGGTAAGCTTCACAGCAAGTCCCCAGATGGTTCTTCACTCTTGTCCTTGCAGATGGTAAAGTTGGGTCATTATGATAGAGCTCTACATACCACATATATCAGATCAGGGACATAAATAATTAGTCTCCAACCGCAGACTCTTCCGTGGGCAAACTACAACCCTGTTGTCTCAGTTGTCTCGCTAACTTACAAAGTACTTTTGAACTCATTAGCCAACTTCCCCTATGTTATTTTTCTAAGCAGTTAAATCTTAAACATCCATTCTGGAACCATCTGGAATATCCATTTACCAGCCCCAAATGTTACATTCATTTCTGAGGTGTGGCGAAACAGAACGCAGACAGTGGCATGTAGTGCCCTCTTGAGCACCCAAGCCTCATCAGTCAGCAAAGGTGTTTTGGAAACTGAACTAGAGGGTTTTCTTTTCATGGATTTTTGGCTGCGCAGTTGAAACCCGATGAGTGCTGACAGCTGATGACCGTTACTTTCAAAAGCCCCCAGCAGAGCATTTCATCAGACTGTACAGCTCTACTGAATAATGCACAGTGACTGAAGACTCCAGAGACAAGGTGCTCTGATGCACAGTGCTGCATGCATGAGGAGCTGATAGCGGATGGCGCTACATTATTCATCCGGCCTCTTCATGTGTTCATGTTTTACACACCTTTCAGGAACTCTCGGCACCTCCACCAACACAGCTTTCACAGTGACAACTTCATCTTCCCAGTGCATCCTCTAGCACTGTGTGTTTTTTCAAGTCTCTGTTATCTTCGCTGGCTGTGTGATTTTTAAGCTGTCCTCAAGCAGAGTTTTTCTTTTAACTTTTTGCCAGTTTTCTGTGGATGAAGCTGCACATCTGGCTTGGTCAAAGTTTGCAGAGCAAGCTGAAGGTGACAGCCCGCAGTCTGCCGTTTTATTCCTCATTTCAGTACCACAACGTCGAGCAGAGAAAACGCTCTGATAAGCACAGATCCAACAGCGTTGTTTTTTTAATCTTGGCACTTTGCAATTACACTCACTTGTTTTGAGACATGTTTGTTTTCCAGTAGGTCCTGGGGGGTAACAGTCATTTGGCTACCATTACATTTTTGTTATTTGTTACTTTCCTCATAGAATGTAATCAGAGAGGTCTGTTTTTAATAAGCTATTGTTTGCTACAGAGCAGTTACTCATCACATTTCATTAAAAGACGTTGCTTGTATCATGTCCAGTCTATAAATATACTTGATAAATCTGACTCACAAATTGAAGAGATTACAATTATTAAGAAGCAATGTCTTGTTAAGTTTCTGCATGATTGATATTTTTCTTTTGTAGGACCATTCAGACAACCCCCTGGGCGCTGCAGTCACTCTGGCCCACGAGCTTGGCCACAACTTTGGAATGAACCATGACACCCCGGAGAGGGGGTGTGGCTGCAGGGTGACCGTGGACCGTGGAGGATGCATCATGACTCCCTCCACCGGGTGAGTCACAGCTTCCACCTTAACAATTAAGAGTCAATCGATCTTTAGGATTGCTGACTTCTTACTCTCTTCTGCAATATCCTAGATTGCGGGGGTATTATTTCAGCTAGTTGGCCTTCATCAGCCTAAGGACATATGCTATCATTCACTGCTTCAGTGCACTCCAGTGGGGCCGCTTTTGGTTAGGCTTTAAAAATGACGTCTTACTCCAAAACCATCTGAAATGCATCAATCGTAATGTCAAGCCATCATTAAGTTTGCATTAATCCAGTCACTTATTGAGACGAGTGTGGCTCAAAAGAGTCCAGATTGTGATCATATGTAAACATTATTCCACATGCTCTCTATTTGTAATTTATTGTCTATCGAGCGTTAAGCAAATAATGCTGTTGAACTGCTGGACCATTTTGGCTTATGGCAGATTCAACAGCTGTGCTAATGCCCTAAGGCAATATGACTCATGCTGATGGGAAGCCAATGGTTCAGTCGCAGTGCATGGCCAAAGCAATACAATTTAACTTACTCTGACACAATTTAGCTAAACTCCAATAAACTAAGTAAGATGTGCAGAAAGGCATCTGCTGTCTAATACCACCCTTCCACTGCATGAACGAGCACATTTCTTAATTTGCAAAAGTTGTGGATAGTACTTGCTATTTTTTTAGTGCCACCTCATTCATGGGACTTCATGCACAAGCGTGCGATTTGTAAATAGCAAAGCCATGGTCATTTGGGATTTAATTGTTTCATTCACTCACAACACTCCACAAAACCATGATGGCACCTCACAAAACTATGATGTACACTTGCAACAATGTGCTCTCTTGTTTTGATACTGTTGTGTAATAGAAGCTTCAAATGAAGAACCAAGCGAATCTTGTCCAAACTGAACGTGTTTGAAACTGGAAAATGCACTCAACATACTCGTATTCATTTCCATATCATAACAGGAAGGAGTAAGAGCAGGACACATACTTGCACTTAAAAATCAAAACATTTCCTGTGAAACATTTTACCCTTAACTTCTGTCAAGAAGCAAATAAACAAATGTTTTTACTGCCTTAAAGGGGACCTATCATGCAAAATGCAATTTGGTACGTCTTTTATACATGAATATGTGTCCCTGGTGTTCCAGGGAACTCACCAAGTGTCAGAAAACACAACCCTCTCTATTTTCCTCCATACCCAAATCTCTAAAAAAAGGGGCTGCAACGGATCTGATACAGACTGATCCAGATTTGAACGCTTCTATGTCGTCACAGAAGTGGCGCTACGGCTATTGGGCCAACTCTCCACCTATCAGGGGAATGTGGGGTTGGGCCACGGCCGGCCATTGCCGCTTGAAAGTGCTGGAGACGCTGTAGTACATATGCCAGGCCTGTAAGTGGCGCTGTAGTCTGCCACAAAAGCAGCGAAGAAGACTTCCCGCCCATAGTTACCATGGTTACCCTTCTGTTTATTCTCCGCTGTGGCTTTTTTTCTCCCTCCCCGAGGCAAGCGTTTGCTCCCGCTGCTTTAATTCAATGCAATCCCTCCCCGTTGAGGCAAGCACTGTAATTCTCTCCGGTTAGTCCACCAGCAGATGACAAACACCCACCTCTCCGCCTCTTCCAAGGAACGAGGGGACCGTGCGGCAGAGTTTCAGTTTCTTTCGCCGGTCAAGATGTCCGTTAAAGTTTAAATCTTCCGGACAAAATTAGAAAAGTGCCGGTCAAAGGTCTTCTTTGTTATTTATTGAGCTTTAAAACAAATGAATAACGACTCTATATAATAAAACACGGAGGACGGAGATCTCTTTTTCTCCCCCTCTTCTGACAGCCCAGCAGCTGATCAGAGCACGTCTCACCTCTCCTGCAGGGGGGCGTGGTCAGCAGAATCAGACCCGTAGACACAGCAAACAGCACATAGAGCGAAATGAGGCATGGCTAAAATGCATGATCTGTTTGGTATTTTGAAAACAGAAACGTATAAATATACCTTATATAGGTATGGCCCTACAATATATCATTTAAATATAGCATGATAGGTCCACTTTAAATAAAATATGTGAGAACAGATACCAACAGGGATTTAAGTTAAGCAGAGCCATACCATGTAGTAAAAAAATAGCATATATTTGTTAATTATGGATGATTATAACTTACATATTGTCAGACCGAGCAGTGGGATAGGGATTTGTTAGGCGTTAACATTGGGTATCAGTTCAAGCCGAAGGTCTTGTGGTCTGTGGGAAACACAGATTGGTGTTTATGTTGGAAACATCCCTTTGTATTTGGTTTGGTTTGAAAAACAGGGTAACACTATTCTTGAATATAGACTCATAAAGCAACACAGCAGTCAAATGTAGAATTATTATTATTAGCTCAAATGATGAGGGTATCCTTGGTCAAGGACTTTATCCTAAAATTGGCAACAACATGAACTAGTAAAAAAAGCTAGAAATACTGGCCCTCTCTTTTTCCTCTTTATTCACAGCAAGTTAGAGAGTAATCCTATTCTTTGAAATACATTCATCTTTAATGATGGATAATCTCTCTGCAGCTCCAAATAAATAGTTAAAGACTGTCTATTATACATTTTGTATGTAGGGAAAGCCTACACATTTCCCTTAAAATATCTCATTCTGAAGTCATACGTAGCTATGACGAAATTCTCTAAATGTGAAAGAATGTAATTTCTACCAAACATAGACTGCTAAGAAATATGCATGAATATTTAGTTTTTTGTTCTGCTCTCCACGGAGAGAGTGCTTTTTATTCCATCTGACAAAAGAAAGAAATTATCTAGCCATTGGTTTTAAAATAATCCCCTGAACATCTCCTTATCCGTCCATACTGCTGCTCTGTGATTTAATCCAGGATTAAGGAAGCAATACATTTAAATAAGGATGTTAAAGAACTCTATTGCCTCATTCTGCTTCCTCAGTTAATTCCAGGTCAGGACTATACACTCTCTGCCTGAGGCGGCACTACATCTCCCATGAGTCCAACTCAATCCCCTCCTAGTTCAATGCTTTAAAGCCTAATGTGGCCACACACACACACACACACACACACACGCGCGCGCGCACACACACACACACACACACACACACACACACACACACACACACACACACACACACACACACACACACACACACACACACACACACACACACACACACACACCACACACACACACAGGCTCTGCTGCAATCACCTGAATGTTGTTCATCACCCAGTAGCTACAGTTATTTGTTCTTAGCATTGACTGCCATGTTTTCCTTGGCAGGCAACCAGCTCTTTCAAAGCGCAATGTGATTATACAAAATGCCTCTTCACAAGGCCAAGAGTTGGATGAGTTGGTACAAAAGGCCCGTTGATAACCAGCCCCTGCATTCAATAATTTAAAGTACTGGCATAACTCGCCTACACCTACTCAGCAAGGAGTACCTTGAGTTTTTTTGTTTTGATTGATCTATCATTTTAATCAACTAGAGCACAAGAGTGTCTTCATCAGTGCATTGTTAAGAAAGACACCCATCAAGCTCTGCTGGCCTTCTGCTGGAGATAATAGGATCCAGTTCATGGTGGTGGGGGGGCAGTGCAACTGTAACTGTCCCAGAGCCAGCTGCACATCTGCACAGAGCACTGCTTGTTTCCTGCTCACATTGGTCACGGACAATTGTCGCTTCCTCCTTTTCCTATCCATCCCATTCCCCCCCCCCCCCCCCCATTAGTGATAAATGAGAACAGGCTGGAGTCTTATCCTTTGAGTACATAACTTAGAGGAACACACATCAACTGAGCTGCTGCAGGGTAATCCATTGAAAGAAGGACATACATAAGTGCACAGTACTCAGAAAGGTCCTTCTCTCTTAAATACTAAAACAGGAACTCCACAGGGCTCTATGTTTGGTCCACTATTGGTTCATCTTTAGCTTTCAATTACAAGGTGTGGTTATTGGAGTGCCTTTAATACCGGTTGGTTACAGCAGATGCCACGTTATTGCCAAGTCCTTAGTGCCCCCCCCCCCCCTTTCTAGCCTATGATTCTAAAAATGCCAAATAATGGCAAAACTGACAAAACCAAAGTGTCACTAGTTACACTTATTGTCAGGAAATAACATTAGTGCCTGTTTTACGGTATTTAGAGAAGATGGACATGTGAGCAGTCAGAAGGGAGCCTATCTAAAAACAATGACACCTGGATATTCATTTTTCTTCTTTTCAGTGTACAAATTGCATTCTGATTTAAATTTAAAATATATTTTTTGTAAAAGCACTTATCCGTGTTATGGAGCTGCATTGCAAGATGTTGATGGACAGATAGATACCAAGATGCATTATTAAGACAGGGTTCACACACTCATGGGTTGAAGACCTTAGTAAGATTTTGAATGCTGGGCATGAACACCATCAGACAGAGATTGATATATTTCCCTTATTATAAAATAATCAAGAATCAAAATCACAGAAACTGAACCAAGGTCCAAGGCATGTCTTGGAAATGTGACCCGTGCCCCTCTCAAGAACAGGAACTCTCTACTACAGTATGCCTTGTTTAATTGTGTCCATAGGGAAATCAATGTGAAAAGGCTCTTCAGTATCTACAACATAGGCCAGACTCCTAGGCACCAAAGGCCACAACAGATCATATCACCTAATGTCATCGGCAAAGCTCAAGCTCTTCATGCTCAAAGGAGGCTGTCAAATTAATAATAAATGTGTAGTCAAGGAACTATGGTTTTGAATTACTTAAGCAACTATGAAGTATTTGTCATGCTTACAGTTGTCACAGTCAGGTTTGAATTAACGTTCGTTCACATTTGTGCTGGAAGATCAAGGTCCACCAAAATAAAACCGTCATAGCAGTACAAAAATATAGTCACGATCAGTGTTTTTTTTTAACAATGTTCTCAAGGATCTCAAGGAAAAAAATATTTTGGCAGATGTGTCACTGAAAAGGCCGGCAGATCTTATTCATAGCCGGATCAATATTTCATGGCTGAAAAGATGTGACATAAACTGGCTGTGCAGGATGTGGTGGATGGGTTTCCCAGCATTCTCTATCATCTGAACCACAGTCAAATGTGCACCCTGCCCACCTACATTTGGGGTTAAAATGCTCTGTATATTAATTTGCAACTTTGCCTCATGATTATTGTAATTGATGATAAAATAGGTCTGAATGTATGTTCATATTGAGCACTAAAATCCTATATAAACAAGACTTTCAACATTTAAAAAAAAATATGTGTTATTTTTCTCATCACTGTAGGCACAATCCCATTACATTTGATTTAGAAGAGCAACCCTTTCATCTTACATGTCTGCTTCATTTCAGCTTTGATTTTATTTTTATTTTTTCATCCTGAAGCTGTAAAAGCATTTGGATAAGCAAAATCAATCTGAACACTTTACTAATACATCATGTAATTGCACTTAAAGGTGGGGTAGGTAATTCAGTTCAGAAACACTTTTTGTTATATTCCATGGAATGCTCTTAACATCCCGATAGCAATGAATGTATTAAATGCTTTGACAATAAATACATAAAAAAATGTCATCTGTGGAAGCCATGGCTCTGTAAAAAGCACGACCAATTATTTTCACCGGCCCGGCTAAAATAACTGGATGGCCTACCTGCCTGTCAGCCTTCCATCTGTGCACAAACTTATCTCGTGCCCTCATTGGTCATGTGCGCGTTCGTGTGTGTTGGAGGAGGGGCTCTGTAAGGAAGTCTGAAGGAAGGGGCAGATTTTTTTCGTCTGCATACTTTCAAATTCTAGCGCACACGAGCTGGTTTCTCCATTCTTACCTACCCTACCTTTAATTGTTATTAAAGGTCACCTATTGTGCTAAATCCACTTTTTCATGTCTTTTATACATAAACATGTGTCCTCTGTGTAAAAAGATTCTGAAAGTTTCAGGAAAAAATATGTGCTCACTTTTTTTCCTGATCCATTTATATAAAAAACAGAAATGAGCTGATCAGATTGTGGCCACTTTATGATGTCATAACGATGTTCTGGCTTGTGTAACCATTAGCCAATAACCAACCAAGGGAACCCCCTCCACCTTATCACCTGAATCTCCTCCTAAAGCACCATTGTGTTATTTTTAACAAAATATCTCTCAGAGGGGCGTGGGGAGTGGCTCCTTATTTTCATCTAAAGTAACAGACAGAGAATCAGCACTTTTGAAACAGGGCTGAAACAGAGGGGATTATGACATGCTAACATGCATGATCTGTTTGGTATTTCGAGCCAAACACTTCAGAGACATGTTTTGTATATAACTGAGACCTATAATATATTGATGAAAAACAGTATAATAGGGACCTTTAAATGGCACACTTGCTTTCCAGGATCTCTGTCGAAAAAGTCTTTAATTCATTATTTTAGTTTTTAAATGACATTGATTGTAAATTGCAAGAGTCAATTTAATCAATTTGTTGTGCCTTCATATACGGATTTGTGTCTTTGTACTGTCTTACTTTACTTCTCTACCCTAATGTAGGTCATTTTTTCATCTGTCCCCTTGTCGAAGCTGCTGAATTGTTAGATGTTTGAAAGCCTTTGGCACTGTAGTATTATTACAGTGTGTGGTAGATCAAGGGGGGCCTGTAATATATCTGGGAATGATTCCTTATCAGCAGACCTCCCACAGGCCTGTTAAAGCCTTGTCTGGCAACTGACCGTTGCTAAGATCCTGTGATTGCATGGTACACTCCATCAACCATCAGCTGCAGTGCCGCTGAAGCCTAGCAACCAACTGTCAAAAACTGAAGTTAGGTTAGAGAAGAGAAGAAAAACACAAAGAACAGAGAAAAATGTACCCAATAATGGAATTGGCGGTGGATAACAATGCAACAGTGTGGGACAGAACAAAGAGCACACAAAGAGAATAGACGGAGGTGAACAAGACTCGTCCTTCCTGAAGCCCAAACCGCATTTGAACCAGCCGGAAGGTCACACTGGGTCTTTTCTCTTGCGGTGGTGGCGTAGACTCCTATGGGACGAGTTGTTGTCTAAAGGGTCTTTAGTCCGCTATGAGCTCCAGATGTGCCCACCGTGATTTGCCCTGGCACTGCTTTTCCTCCCCTGGGGGCCCGCAGCTGCTAAATGCCATCCACTGTAATTCATTGGTGCCTCTTCCTTTTCACAGCCATTATTCCTCCACCCACCCCCACACCGTTGCAGGGTAGACCAATTATTTCTGTATTGCGTCTCATAAAGAACAGCTGGATCCTGAGCTCATGCATCTCAGAGATGTGAGCTGTGATGTGAGTGTTTGTCATGGCTTGCATTGGCTGGTAACTGAAGAACAGGGCTGAGTTCATGGAAATTGAATGAATTCAGCAAAACAGGGTGTGCAACCAGAGCAGGCAATTTTGGTTCGGGCTTAGGGGGCAAGGAAGAAATCAACAACAGCGGTTGCTAAGGAAGTGGTCTGCCAGCCTTGACAGCTGTTCATCATAGCAAGGTCCCCTGAGAGGCTCAACGGGGAGGGAAGAAAAAAGAAGGGTGTTATAATGGCTGTTATTACAGCTTTCCTTATTGGTATTTCCTTTTGCCATTACATATCATTACAGATCTACTCTGATATTTTGCTTTGGTCCAGAGTGTAAAGAGATCTGTTTCAAGGTACCCCATTTTCACCTAACACAACCTCTGAATAGTATTGATGTTAGAGAGCAGGCGGTTGTGTGTTTGGGGAGGGGGTCAGCAGCAGGAGTTGATGTAAGCCTCCTCCACACATGACGGAAATCAAAGGCAAGCCGGGAATGAGGTCATGTCAAAACATTCACAGAGTGTCATGACATATTTAGAGCCGTATTAGCATGTGAAACCCAATCACAGAAACACAGTTTGAAAGTCTTGTCGACATTGAGTCCCATAGAAAGGCCTCCTTCTCTAAGCTGAAAATCTAAGGAGAGAAAGTAGTTATTTTACTGCTTCTGCGTCAACACAGCCATCGGCCTCACTTCAAGGCTCAGCCTTGAAGCTGGAAACAAATTGCCAACTCCAGCACATTTAACCTCATGTAGAAGAACCTCATCGAGCTGCATTTTTTTTGGGCTGCCAAGGACTGTTATATGACGCCTTGATGCCACAGCAGCTCAGCCTGTGCATGAATTGTTCTTATGCACACCTGCTCTTCAAATGAGCTTATTGAAAGATGTCGAGGCATTTACAGTTGTGCTACAACCAGACATGTTTGCTGTCCTTTCATCACTGTGATTTTCTAGACACCAAGAAAACCTTGCAAGCTCAATAGAACATTTCCCCTGCTGTCATACATTAAATACATTATGCACTCAATACATGGTAATGTGTTGGATTTACACTGGCACTTTCCTTGCTGCTCTTAATTATATACAACTCTGAAATGGACACATTTTATAGTCAAAATCATTAAAATTAATGCTTACAAATGTTCTCGAACAAACATGTGGTTTTACTGAGTCTGCATATTTTGACTCGCATATGTTGCATGTGGTGCGCATGTAAAAAGAAACATTTTCGCAGCTAAGTTGACCTGGATCCCCCACATAGTGTGTCATACATGCACTCATCCGTGTGCCAGACGAGCACATATATTACTCACAGATTGACTCATTCTGGCCATATTGGGCTTTTATGGTGTAGGTATTAAAACCTAATATAGTGCTTTTTTTTATAAAGATAGTGTCTGCACATAATCATGCTCACTTGACACACACACTCTTATCCAAGGCACTATATTATCGGAGATATAAAGCCACAGGAGGTTTGTAACAAAGCTTTTGGCAGAGCCCTGGGCTGTGTGCTTTTCCCCCTCTCTGTCCGCTCCAAAAACAATATTAAAAACACCCCCTCCCCGTTTCTCCCAAATGTAGGTGTTTCAAGTCTAGAAGGAAGCACATTTTGGTTTGATTTTTTATGTTCCCCTGTCTCGTAAAATATGCCTTATCAGATCTCCCTCTCTCCATGGAGGCAGACGTCACCGGGCCCCTGTGCTGTTCGCATGCTAATGGTGCTCTGGAGAGGTTGCTGAGCTCTTGTGGTTAATTGATTTTGTGATTAGAAGCAATTAGCACTGATTACATCAGACTGAAGAGGACCCTTGTGGGTGATTTTGATCTTATTCCTCCACTCTGTCTTTGTTTGTATCACTCACAAAGAATTGTTCTTTTCCTTACAGGTATCCGTTCCCCACAGTGTTCAGCAGCTGCAGCAAGAAGGACCTGGCAGCCAGTTTTGAAAAAGGCATCGGGATGTGTCTGTTCAACATGCCTGAGGTCAAGGTGCTCTACGGCGGGCAGAAATGTGGCAACGGCTACGTGGAGGAGGGAGAGGAGTGCGACTGTGGAGAACTCGAGGTGAGCGTGCTACTGTATATAGACCTCCGACAATTAGTCAGCATTCTGGTTTTACGCCCCTTCTTTCAAAAATCTCTGTATTAACTGCTACCCATAAATCCTTGTTACTATGTTACCCACATTTGAGAAATTAAATAAGCAGAAGCGCTAGTAGGTTTTTTTTTAGCGTAACTGACAAAAGCATGGCACAAACCAAATATTTCCCATAGTAAAAAACAATAGTTCACCGTGGTTTCAAAGCTAACAGCGCATAGCTCTCGTAACTCAAACACAGTCTTTAGAGCTCAGAGATATGAGTGTGAATGTATTCATTCCCTGCACTGAAGATGTGTTCGGGAGGATGGTTGGCTGATGGTGATACAATTCACTGAGAGGAAACATCGCTGACAGCTCACCCTGTCAGTCGGTGAATAATTTAAATGAATCTGCATTGGCATGCACAGACGTAATGGTGGCACACATTGCTAACTGCTCTGACTCTGGGATGATAAAACAGTTCATCACGGAGCAGCTGACAATCAAAATAACAGAATTATGAAATATGAAGGAGACATCAATGATGACTTGGAAAGATTTGAATTATATAATAGCCTGAGTGCGAGGACGCCTTGTCTCACACGATTTGTTTACACCTTTTCGGAGTCTTTTTGTCTTTCTGTTCAGGCTTCAGCCGGGGGGTTTTGAAAGTGGACTTGTCCTTCAAAACAAAGAACTGACATAAGCCCCTCAGAACTGAGCCAGCAGCTCTCCACAGAGTTGAGCAGCATCCTGCCAACCCAGGCCAGATCAGAGCGCTCAGACAGCATTTCTCTCCTCCATTAAAAAGCCTCATTAAAAAGCCTTGGTCCTTTTCATCACAATCACAGGCAACTTCTTTTCAACATGACTCCTACGCCTCCTTTGGCCCCTGGGACCATGGGAAAGGCCCTTAATAGTTTTCAGGCTGAAAGAAGTTCTAGGAAGGCCCATCATGTCAGCTGTGTCCCCTGCCAGCTCCGGCCATCCACTTCCTCTTTATAGCTGAACAGTGTGCTCAGACTGCTGCCTAGTGCCTGTAGAGAGAGAGATGACTCCCGAGGGTCCCGTCAGCCTGCCTTGTGTGTGAGATCGTACATGCACAAACAGACACGCCGACACATCTTATGTGTCTGAGCTGAGCGTTGGTTGAATACTTTCTTTAATCTGTATCAGAAGGCAGAGAGTTGCTGATTGGTACAGGGCATCGCTCATGATAAAGGCCAACATGAAACAGATGGGTCTCCATGGAGAATTGGGAAATGTTAAAGGGATGCACAGATATAGTGTGTGTCTCACTGATGGGTTGAACATAGCAGACTGCTTCACTAGTATTAAGAAAAAGGACTTTCTAGAAGAGTTTCTGCTATTACAGAGAAGCATGTATGGGTTTGATTCCTGGCTGCAAAACGGATGGAGGATTTAAGAATATAAATGGAATGTCAAAACAAGGTTTTCTAGAGTTAAGTCCCCTTAATCTTATAATTGTTGTGTTTTTGTTTGCTTAGACTCAGCCCTTCACATCACACATGTTGCCACTAAATCCCACACACTGGAACTTTCACCCAATATTTTTGCTTATTTGTAAGACATTTTCCTTTTCTCCCCATTTCTCTATTTCCTTTGCCATCCAGCTCATGGTTCCAGGGGTCTAAATGGGCTTGTAATTCCTGTCAGATGGATACACTGTTGTTTTTAGAGAACTAGAAACTGCTGTTGCCTTTCCTCTACAAGAGTACTAAGTTGGTACAGAATTCAGTCCTGCTAGCACTGCATCCCCTCTGATAACAACGTGTGAGAATTTGCTCTGAGGTGAAATATGATCTCTTTGTGCTAATTCTTCTTTACTTTTGTTCCCCCTCACTTTCATCCCATTTCTGCGCTTGCCTTCTTCTATTTCCATTTGGAGGAATGTATGAATCCCTGCTGCAATGCTACTACCTGCACTCTGAAGGGGGACGCAGTTTGTGCGCACGGACAATGCTGCCAAGATTGTCAGGTAGGATGTGGCCCGATTAGCCAGGCATGACACTCAGAATCAGAATCAGAATACCTTTATTCGTCCCACAGAGGGGAAATGTACATTTGTTACAGCAGGAAAGAGCCAAATGTTAACTAGGAAGCATGCATAAAAAAAAAAAATTAACAAAATACACATCCTGTAACAGTTCTGAAGATATAGCAGGTATATATTACAAAGTTATTAACGGCATATATATATATTGCACACAATTTATATTTCACAGCAAGGGGTGTTTATTCTATTTTATTTGTATTTACTTGCACTATTTAACTATTTGATCTGTGTTATTGTGTTGCACTGTTGGAGGAGCCTGTGACCTAAGATTTTCATTGGCATATCTACACTATAGCTATGTACAAATGACAATAAAAGCCTTGAAACTTGAAACTAGCATAGTCTGTGTTGTTGTGTGTGTGTGGGGGTCTACCAGGGGCCGTGGTGGTTATATAGTCTGACCGCTACAGGAAGGAAGGACTTCACTCTTTACTGCCATCAAGCTAAACACATATGATCTAATCTTCACTCTGTGTGTAGCTAAAGCCAGCTGGAACTCCATGCCGTGAATCCAGCAACGCTTGTGATCTTCCCGAGTTCTGCACCGGCATCAGCCCCCACTGCCCCTCCAACGTCTACCTGCATGACGGCCACGCCTGCCACAGCCTGGACGGATACTGTTATAACGGCATCTGCCAGACCCACGAGCAGCAATGCATCACTCTGTGGGGCCCAGGTGTGTGCAACAGTCCCCTTCAGCTTGCTCTTCGTCATTGAGTAGTTCAGTGATGGTAGCCAGCTCCTTCATGTGTTTCATTTTTGTTTTTTCGTAGGAGCAAAGGCAGCTCCTGGCATTTGCTTTGAAAGGGTTAACTCGGCGGGGGACCCCTACGGCAACTGTGGCAAGGACTCTAAAGGCTCATTTAGCAAATGTGAAGCACGGTAAGATCTGACGTTTCCATGGAAATAAACAAATGTATTTCATTGTATGAGGGCATATGCTGTAGTTACCCTTCTCCACAACTGAACCACCTGAATTTGCTGCATTTTCTCCATTTTCTTTTTCTTTCTATTACTGTTAAACTCACAAAATAAATATTTTGAAGATGTTACATCGGGCTACTGCAGCTTGAGATCTGCCTTCCTCCTATTTTCTCTGACATTCAACAGACTAAACTATTGATTAAAAAAGAAAAACTGACATGTTAAACTATAGAAATACTCATTAGTTGCAGACCTAACTGAAGGTTGAAGAGCAACCTGGTGAAATGCAGTCAAAATCTTTCAGGTTGTGGTCTGAAACATCATAAACAAGCTGTCTTTTTCCGCTCTTTCCCTAATTGGACAGCAACAGTGAGAGAAATAGATGGAAATAGAGAGTAATTGCATATCTACACTATTGGGAAAACAGTGACATGTTATTAAATTATCACATTGTTATTCTCCCTGTTGCTCGTTCTGTTTACAGAGATGCTAAATGTGGCAAAATCCAGTGTCAAGGAGGAGCTAACCGCCCAGTAATTGGTACCAACGCTGTTTCCATAGAGACAAACATCCCCATGCAGGAAGGGGGAAGGATACTGTGCCGAGGCACGCACGTCTACTTGGGTGATGACATGCCCGACCCCGGCCTCGTGCTGACGGGCACCAAGTGTGGAAACGGACTGGTGAGAGCTGAGGCCTGTGACCGTTAAATACAGCCAGACATGTAACACACTCATTAGCACAGGTGGAAAGTAACAGAGTACATTTACTCAACCACAAGTACTGGATCTAAGTACAATATTAAGGTACTTGTACTTGTTTCACTGCCTACTACTTAATATTTTTACTTCGCTACATTAACCTGTTTTATATACATACATAATTGTATGCATTCATACCATTCCATTGATACATTTAGAACATTTTCCGGGAATAACAAAAATAATAACTGTATACAGTATATAACACATTTAAAAAAAGTATGTTTACAAGATGCTTTACAAGGTGCAAACAAGTGTTGATTATAGAAAGAGCACAATCCTAAAACATAATAATTTTTTAGCAATAAGACATAAAACAGTACAAGACTAATGTTGTGGGAAGATATCAAAACAAGTCATAATAATTCAACTTCTATGCTTTTATTTGCTACTTGTTAAGGATATGTTCTCCATTGTAATACAATACTAACCTGCCCAAATGTACTTCAAAAGACATTCCGTTATCATTCCTCCTTTTTATACTCACCATGAAAATCACTTTCCTTTTGTTAGTTTCCTGGTGCAGTAATTACTTCAGTGTAGGAATAGTACCAGAAATAGGGGTTTATTTTGGAATGCATATTTTGCACAGAGTAACGAGTGCAGAATCCACCTATTACAGAAACCAAAATCTGATTAAGTGCACATGAGTGTGTTAGCATTGTTTTAAGACAGCATTGAAAAACTGAAGACATATCACTCAAGTGAAGCATTTGAATACCGCTTATAGTAATGTAAGCTACAGTGTCTGTGTGAAAACACAAAAGCTGGGATATAGGAGTGGAAAAAGTGATGCGGAGTGACAGTCCATGACTAAGACTTTCTAAGAGGTTCTTCAGAGTGTGTCATCTTGTCATTTCAGACTCACACAGCCTCAGACACTCAATTGACTCACCATTTTACAGTCTATTTGGCATCTTCCTGTGGTCATCAATTCAGACATTGGTCACTTAAATGATGCAGTGGCTCCATTTAGTCTAACTGTACTTCTCTATGGGATCCGCCCTCTGCCCTCATCTGTCAAGGGTTCTGGCAAAACTCTCTGTGCCCACTGATGCCAAGTTCATCTTCACAGTCAGCCTGGATATATTTGGGCGTGGTGCCTTTAAGGAGCCACATAATACAACTTGTGAGAAGCTTTTTAAATTCATTCTTGAAAAATGCTAATTCACTTAAAGGTCACCTATTATGCATAATTCACTTCTTCATGTCCTTTATACATAAACATGTGTCCCCTCTGTGTAAAGAGATTCTGAACGTTTCAGGAAAAAGGTTTGCTCTCTTTTTGTCCTGATCCATTTATATAAAAACCTGTCTGAAAATGAGCTGATCAGATTTTGGCCACTTTATGATGTCATAACGTTTTTTTGGGTTGTGTAAGCATTAGCCAATAACCAACCAAGGTAACACGCCCCCCCCCCCCCCCCTTATCACCTGAATCTCCTCCTAGAGCACCATTGTGTTTTAACCAAATATCTCTCAGAGGGGCGTGGGGGAGTGGCTCCTTATTTTCATCTAAAGTAACAGACAGAGAATCAGCACTTTTGAAACAGGGCTGAAACAGAGGGGATTATGGGATGCTGCAATGATCTGTTTGGTATTTGGAGCCAAACACTTCAGAGACATGTTTTGTATATAACTTAGAACTATAATATATTGATGAAAAAGAGTATAATAGCGGACCTTTAATTATATTTCATGTTGCTTAGCTGTAGAGGTTCGTCAGTTGTAAATTGAAAGAAGAAGAAAGCTGGATTTGTTGATCTTTTCCCTTTAAAAGATTAAAGGGTTTAGAATATTAAAGATCTTTCCTTGCTGAACTCACACTGTCCATTTTTTGTATATCTTTGTCTGCTTCAGATGTGTCTGAATCGTCAGTGCCAGAACGTCAGCGTCTTTGGCGGGCACGATTGCTCAGCCAAGTGCAGCGGTCAAGGGGTGAGTTCATCACCATTCATCGTTTTTCAGTAATGTGAGGTCCTAATGTGATAGCTGTCAATCTCAAACCAGCGATTGGTTTGAGATTGATACAGATTAGTTGTTTTCCTAATAACCAATTCCTCCTTCACACGGCAGCCCATTTTGGTTGTAATATGTTCAAATTTGTCCAGTATACGGTGGGTAAGGCGCCATTACAATGCCTTGCCATCAATCATCCTGGTTGTTGAAAGGTTCAATCAATTAGATATAATGGCTTCATTTGTGCTCAGATGTAAGTGCCATTCATCATACTCTAAGGCACTCGTCCTTGTCCCAAAAACTGTGTTGAAATCTGAAGGCCAGGCTTTATTTGGATAAACGCTCGGAGCAATGACACGCAGTTTGACTTTCATTTTTATAAAATGCCACCCATCAAATTCTATGGGTGGTCCCGTTTGAGATAACATATATGGCCCTTAAACTCACTGGTAGATCCCAGAGGCTAACTATTACTGAAGTTGCATCAAAGCTGCACAGGAAGCAGTTTGTACAGTCTCTTAAAATTCATCTACAGATATTATAGGGCCATATTTGTTTGTCTAGTTCCAATTAAGACATTTCTATAAAGCTCCAAGGACTGTTTTACTCAGAGAAATAAAAAGGATGTTACTCCTCGAGGAGACACAGCACCCCTTCAGGCTCGGATTAGATCAAGATGTTGCCTTGGAAAGAGGCCCTCACCTGCTCCATATTACCCTGCTGGGGAATCCTCTTAGACATAACCATTCTTCCACTCTGCAGGACAGGAAGAACTGAGTCAGAGAAAAAAAAATGGTTTTAAAGTCTGCACTCGTTTTAAAAGCAGACATCTTTGCCATGTGGATCCTAGCAGCGGTCGACTGCAGCACACAGAGCGTCATCATGAGTGTTTGTTGACTGGGATATCTAGCGCTGAGACAATAACCCAGACTGAAAACGACTTTTAAGCTAAACGTATAAGAAGACAAGCTTTTTGTACATTAGTATCCCTTTGGAGTTAATCATTTAAAGAATATACAAATGTGAAAGGAAGAACGTATCAAGGGACAACGCTGATAACCTTTCATGCAAATACCTGAAAACAAAGAAAAGGATCATATTGAATGCATTTTGGGCTCATATCCCAATTAAATGTCGTTTTGGTTTTCTTCAGGTGTGCAACAACAACAAGAACTGTCACTGTGAGGCTCACTGGGCACCTCCCTTCTGTGACAAGGCTGGTTTTGGGGGCAGTTTGGACAGTGGCCCCATCAGGTTAGCAAGTAAGTCAACAACTCAATTACAACAAATGGCTTTATTTATTGTAGGTGAGGTCATGTTATGTTATATGTCTTGAGCATTGAATGTATGAGCATTTCAACAAGCCCTAAAACTATAGATTTCTCCACCTCCCCATCTCAAAACTCAGACTTTTCCTTACAAAAAGCCTGTGTTTTATGGTAGGAAAAAACACAACATTTGCTGACAGTTTCCGGTAACACATACATAATTGAAATACAGTTCTGCAGAAATATTGGCGTTGAGTTTGACCTTACTGACGGTGATTTCCTGTGTGTTTCTGAGCAGACAGTGGGGGTCTGACAGTGGGCATCCTGGTGGCTCTCCTCATTGTGCTGGGGGCCGGTCTGATCATCTGCATCAAGAGGAAAACAGTACTGGGACTGCTCTTCACCAGTAAAAAGAACCCAATTGAGAAGCTCAGGTGTTTGTTTTTTGAATACCATCATAATTCAATCATTTGTCATCATCATACTTTTTAATCACAGCATTCATAGCAGCATCAATCTGTGTCAGATGCTGCTGGGTGGGACAATTGCTGTGTATAATTGATTTCGTAATTTGAAACGTATTACCATTGTAACTGATGCATGATTAATAGAGGACAGTGTATATATCAGAGATGTATCATTTCCTCTTCAAATTCCAGATCAGTGAGCGCTGCAATCAGCAGACCCTCCTCTCCGAACCAGCCTCCGTCGCTGAGCACGGCGTCTCCGTCGCGACCGGCCCCGCCCCTCCCTCACGCGGCCACCGTCTTCAAGGTCACTAAATCAAACGTCTTTTCTTGACAGGCTCATTACATACACACAGATGGAGATCTTTTGCAGGTGGAGTTACAGTATCTTCACAGATGATACAGGCTGTGGAATATTCTTCCTAAAAATGCCCATGGCTGTTTAGTGAACACAAACAACTCTCATCAGGATTGACATGTTGTTTTCCCACAAATGTCAGCTCATTCAAATCCAATTAAATCATCTCGCTTTATGTGGAGGAGCTGGGGAGTCTGTTGAGAGCAGTGTGTCCACAATACATTTCTTGTCATTAACAGCTGCCTGTAAAGAGGGAAATTGATTTATCTGTGCGTTTCCCAAATGAACGAATGTAGATGCAGCGGCTTACTTGAGGTATAAAGTCATCCTGTTACTGATAATTGCCAGACAGAGCAGGAATTCTTTGCTGTAATGACTTTTGTGTCCAGATCACTACTCCATTACTGCGCTGACAAGCTTTGTAATGGGAAGAGACCTGTGATCGATGGCGTTAGGGGGGGTTGCTGGAATAAGAGGAGCCGTGTCAGAATTGACATTTGTGCTGCAGGGTGGCACATGAGCGAGGCGAGCTGTTGCGCATTACCGTGAGATTTCAGTTAGCAGCATGTGGTTTTCATTTGGGGTCAACGGTAAGAGGAGAAAGGATGTAAGGCTGTTTGATGTGAGCACAGTGCAGGTGAGGTCATTTTCCAGTTGTCGGGAGCTGTGTTAAACCGCTGCATGAGAGGGTGTGTGCGTGCTTTTTATATGTTACATTGTGTGTTTTTGAGTTGTGCACATCTGGCCGGCTCCGAATACTAGGCAGACTCATATTTTGGCTCTATTCTATGTCTGATGTGTCTCAGAAAAGGGAGTGTGTGTGTGTGGGCTCTTTAGCTATGTCCACCTTTTGAATGAGGCCAAGTCTGTGCTTCTGGCCCAGTATTGGTTTTTCCTATGATAGGTTACCTGAAGAGGAGTTGGGGAATATTGAGCAGGCAAGTGGGAGCGTTTGATTTATACATCTTTGACAGCATCAGGAAGACCGGCAGAGGAAGAGGAGGAGGTTAACATGACATGTTTCTGATAGGAAGCAGACACTCTCTTTTTTTACACAAAGCATCTTTTTTTTGACTCTGCTGGTTTTTTCTTTCATCTCTCTGCAGCTTCCACACCGGGGTCCAGAGGCGGGGCCCCCACCGCCCCCCTACCCCTCCCACAGCCTGCGCAGACTGCCCCAGTGCCCCCCGGTTCACCTCAGCCACCCTGTCCCTCTGTCTCTCACCCTGTCCCTCTCCCCCGGCCCCGCACTGCCTAGACCGCCCCTGCCCCCCCCCCACATCCACGTGGCACCGAGGGGGGCGTCGTTTCGCAGCGCGTCACGCCATAACTCTTGCAGGATGGTCATGGTGAGTGACTGCCTCGTTCCTTCACTTGGAAACATTTTATTTGACGATGTTTCTCACTGTAATCTGTACCAACGACAGCCCATAATACCTAACCAGAGAAATGATGTTGTTCATTGCACCTTCAGACGGGTGTCACCATGTCGACCAGTTTAATGGTTCTTCTGCGTCCTATAAAAGTATATGCATGGTGACAGTTATGTACAGTCTCATAAAATAACCAGTTTAGCCGAAGAGGTAGCGTCATCGGAGCGAGACTTCAATTCTACAATTCAAACCACCACATAAATAATACAAAATAGAGCCAGACGTACAGAGGGGGGGAAAATAGACAAGATAAAACAGCAACTGCAAGTATGTCCAAATAGCACAGGGTGGTAAATGTGCTGCCACTGGTATTCCATGGAGTTTAGTTATGGCATTGCAGGCTGTCAAAGTTGAGGGGAAGAGAAAGCCAGAAGTTCCCGGTGTTAAATCTCTCTCACTCAGTGATTCTCAAAGACTCTTATTCGCTTTAATCCTGTTTGACTTGTACCCTGTGGGAAAGTGAGGCAGAAACAGCTATAAGAGACGATCCAAAAGACAGAAAGACAAAGTGATCAAGAGACAAAGGAACGAGTCGATTCATCAAATTTCACAAGAGAAACCAAATCATATACCGAGTCCAGTCTCACAAATGAGTGGATTTGCTTTTTTCATTTTGGAGTGTCTGTTAAAAGCAAAGGATGATATCAAATCACCATTATCCCGGACAAAATAATTGCAATTCAAAGAAATGATAATTGTAATCATCAAAACATGGTTCAAACTCTTAAAATCGAACTAAAACAAACTGGAATAACCTTAATAATGACCTTACATTTTGTTTGAGAAACGAATCACTAATGATAATTAATAGTAATGATTATTTGTTACAGCACGGGAATTGCGAATAAGTCAAATTTAAAATTGACGGAGAGATCGAGAAAAGGACGAGATGTGGCTGAGAAATCATCGTTGAAGCCTGAAACAAATCCTGGGAGTAGTTGACAGTAAAAAGCCTCTAAAGACAGCCCTGTAAATGATGCCACAGGGGAGCTGAGGTCAAAAAGATGCCACACCAGTGTCAGGCTAATTAGCGCTGAGTTAAACAGAAAATGATATTCAGGTCTTGCACAGATTACTGGAGGGGTCACAAAGGAGTTCTGCCTTTTAAAGTACATCATTGTTCTAGAGCTCATAAATGTAACTACAGCATATGATGCAATAAATCAGTACTCCGTAAAAAGCCTCACAGAATGACACCTTTTAGTTTGCACTGATATTGTAACGATCAGGAACAACGTGAATTAAAGGGTCCCTATAATGTCAATTTCAGGTTCATATTTGTTATTTGTGCCACTACTGTGACATGTTTACATTGTTTAATGTCCAAAAAGCTCTTTATTTTTCTCACACTGCCTATGCTGCAGCACCTCTTTTCACCCTCTGTCTGAAACCAGATCCTAGTCTGCTCTGATTGGTTAGCTGGCTGGCTGGCTCTGTTGGGATTGGTCAATCGCTTATAGATGTCCTGCCCTTAGCCTATCACGTACAATGTGTTGGAACGATATCCAGTAAAAGCGCAAGTGTTACATAGTGATGTCATTATGTTACAGAAGTAAACAAAGGAGTCCAATGGAGGTTTTTCAGGCAGGAGGGGGAGTGTGTCGGAGAGAAACTCTGGAGGGAACATTGGGATTTTAGCCTTCGTAGACCATTGACATGCTTTAATGATCAAACACTACAGCTACAGCTCTAGTGAAGGTGTTTTCAAAAAGTGTATAATGTGCTTCGCTTTAAAATATACACCTTGAAGAGCCATTGAAGAACTCCATTTATTAGACAAAGCTTCGTAGCTGTCATACACCCTTATAACAGTGCTACAGTTCTTGGCACTGTTTTGACTTCAGGAAGAAGATCTTTCCTCTCAGCTGCTCCTATTTAATGTCAAAGTATGAAACTCAAAGTGATGCCTGTTGGCAGCAGACTTCCCCGACAGTATCTTTAGCAGCTGTTTGGCAGCTCCCAGACGTTGATAAAGCTTCTTTTTTTGTCTCCCAGAGTGAAAGCTCTCTGCTGGGGGCATGGAAGAATTGTCCAAAGGGAGAGCTTCACCTGATGTAGCTTTTTAGACTGGGGTTTGTGAGAATGAACATCTTGTGCCTTTCAATCACCGTATCAGTCATGCTTTTTTTTTTTTATTTGCCTGCATTTTCACTTTACCAGCATTTGTTACTCTTGTGATGTTTTTGGATGGAGTCCCCATTGCATGAGAGTCCTGGCCTGTCAAGGAGATGAATTAGCAGCGGTTCTTCAATAGAGCAGATTGTCATGATGTGGCCTTATGGATGAAAAGGAGATACATATCCTTCATTACAGACCGAGAGTTAATTTTAACTTGAAAGGAATGGTGTTTTGAATTGGCAAACCTCATTCCACGGGTGAGTGAGGTCTGAGGTTCGGTTGTTTGGCTCTTTCTTCTCTGTGATGTTTGGGGAGGTTTCTCTTCAACCAAGGAGGAAGAAGTGAATGGAGAACAGATGGGGGGGGGGGGCAAGGTAGCAGGCCTGTATCATGATCTCAGTCCTCAGGAGAAGATTAAAACCACATGACTCTTCCTCTCATGGAGAGTTGAGAGGAGGACTCTTCAACAGGCCTGAGCTGTGAGTGCCACCTGGTGGAGAGTCTCGGGTATTATCTGTTTGTTTCTGTTCTTTTTCAGGAGTTGGAGAAGCCCAGTCCTCCTCAGAAACCCCTTCCGGCCGATCCTAGGAGCGCTCGTGTGGTGCGAGGTCCCTCTGTAATGCGGGGGGCCTCGGCTGTTTGTGGCCCCGCACCAACACCTGGTGTACCCAGACCTTTGCGGCCTATCCCACATCCCAACAGGTGAAAGAGCCATAGGAATTATACATAAAACTACCAACAAATACATTATTTATCAAACTAAAAACACTAAAACAAGACCTGGTTGACTTTAAAAACTATCCAAATGATGTTTAAAGTCGCAAATCAACAATTACCTCATAATGTCCAGGGACTTTTCACACGGAGAGAAAACATACACATGTTGAGAGGAAACTTCATTTTTTTTTTTAAACTTAATTTCATCAAAACAAAAGGTGTTCATCTGTGGAATAACTTTAATGATGAGCTGAAATACTGTGCAACTTTATCTAAACTAAAACTATTATTTGGAATCCAAATCCTGAATGGTTATGAGCAGGACCTGTGAAGTGGTGCTGCTTGCTATTTCTTGTCGTTGTAAAAGTTATTTTTTGTTGTTTATTTGTACAAAAAAATGATTTGTTTAAAACAATGAATCAAATATCACGGATGACGATGACCTAAACTTTGATTTTCATGAAGAATGTACGCTAGAGGGGGTAGGACCAGAAAGGTTTTCAAACTTCTTCTTGCCCCTTTTGAACATGACAGAAACTATTTGAGAATTTTTTTTTTATACCTTGAATGTTTTTTTTTACTTTTGCTTCTCTTTGTTATAATTATTATTATTGTTTGTTTTGTTTCTAACATGTTCAATAAATTGACTAATAAATACTAAATAAACTCCAACCGTCACAAGATATATGTAAACACACTGCTGAAGCTGCCACACTCACTAAAACATTATTTTAACACATTTCTTTCTCCTTCTTTTAGACCCAGTCCCAAGCAGCCTCCAACACTACCAAAGCCTTGCATAATTGCCAACGTCAAATACAGCAGCTGAGACTTTCGCCGGGATGGGACAATGTTGTGATAAGACACTTAAAGAATTTGCACTATGAAAACTCTGAAATCCTTAAAAACAAAAGATGGCGGCTTGTCTGAGTTTTGAATCAGGAGGTCTGCCACGTCCCTTTTGGTGCTCTGTCCCTGAATGGTGCTACGAGTCTGAGCTCAGGTACATGTAAAGTATTTATATTGTGTATTTATTGCCACGCAATGCACTGTGCCAGACACTTTTACTACACGGTAGCACATTTTTTTAATTTGTCGTTTGCATCAGTTTCACCTTTTTTTTAAAGGGCAGTCACGGAAAGGTCTCGGAAATCGAATCCAATATGTGATATTCTGATTGCAGAGATGATTTTATTAAATGTGTTTAAATGAAGGGAACCTTTTACAAGATGGTTTTGATCTGTAAACTACAGGTAGAATTGGAAAAGGAGTATTGTGCAATGATGAAAAAAAACACTTCTAGTTCATTTAAAACACAGATGGGCTTTTCTTGAAGAGCAATGCTCACCGTTTTGATAAGGCTTGAAACAACTACAGAAAAGGAAAAAGCGATGTTACAGCAATGTGTTCTGGGGAGAAAGGGCTGATTTTTTTTCAATAGACAGCTGAATTACAAGTCTGTCTCCTCTGCATTTATATTTCGGAAAGGTAACAAGTGGATTTGGGAAACTGTCACTTTGCCATTTCCTTTTTTTTTTAACAAGACCCAGGAGGCTCACTCAAAGGATCTGGGTACTGAGGTATGGACTGAACACGGATCCAAAAGAGCGAGATCAAGGAAGCATTTTTTCCTCAGAGGGAGTAATCGTCTCAGAAATATTGCCCTGCTTAAGGTCATGTGTGTTTTTTAAGAGTCTCCCTGTGTGCCTGTCTACACGAGGACTCTGAGTGAAGGACTTTCTTAAAGCTGAGGCCACGAAGGAGTCTTTTTAGAGGCACTGAGGTGTGGATTACAAATCATGATTTTATTGTAACGGGGTAAAGTCGAGTTAACAAGGACACATGTCTTGATTTCTTTCTGCCACTGAAGTTAAGTTTCATCTAAAGTAACGTGGCATTTTTCTATATTTTGTGCTTTTTAAATTTGGCTATTAAGATGAGTTTTTTTTTAAAACAATCTACATGCCAGATATACAATCCTACATAAACTGTATTTTGAGTGATTGAACATTCTTTCATCCTTTTTGCAGGATTATTATTTTACTGAATTGCAGCGCTGCATGTATACATTCACACTGAGCAACTTTTCCTTTAAGCACAGCTCTTGTTCACAAATATGTAGGCTGAAATAGACTTTGAACTTTTCTTACTTTTGATACTGCTATCTTTTTTTATAATGCACTAGTTTTAAACTCGGTGCTTTGATTACTTTTGCTTTTTCAATGCTATGTGTCCATGTAGGCAGTATTTGAGTCCTGTCACCTGAATGTATGTTAAGTCCATATGTTTCTCGTATGTTGTGTTACAGGTGAACACATTTCCATGGAGAATGCTTTTTTTATAATGATTGTTTGATACATTCTATGTAAAGAAAACACACTAAGTATCTGGTCATGGTAATTTGAACACTCATGCAGTATTAGTAAAACAGTTTTTCAAACACTTGAGAACGTTTTTGTGTTTGATGTTTGTGTGTCATGTAAAGAATCTACTACATATTTACATACTTATTTTCAGAAAGGTTACAAGCTTTTTCCCATTTGGCACTGACATTCAAAGCTCATTTGAAACAGTCAAAAGCAATTTGCTGAGGTATTTGTAAGTGATCCAAATACTGCTTCAATCCATATTAGATTGTGTGTTCACTGCTGCCCATCAGGACTCTCTGCTGCTGACCTGATGGAGTCAAGTGTGTGTGAAAGGATGTTCAGAAAACAGTACATGACAACAATCTAATTGCTAATGAGAAATCTAAGAAGCTCCACATGCAAGGAAGGACACACATTGTGAATGATGATCTCGCAAAAACGGACTCAGCCAAAATCCTCTTGTTAAAAAGTTGCAACTGCAGACAGGTTATATTTGTCAAAAAAGGGGAGCAGGCTGGGATGCCATAGCCTTAATTTTGTTTAGTGCTGAAGGCTTAAAGCATAATGAAGTAATTTACATATATTTGTATGCTTTAATATTAGACAAGTACGCTATATGTTTACAGAGAGTAGAGCCAATTAGGCTAGTTAAGTATCTGAACAAATCGAATTAAATATTTAGAAAGTTTAGGATAACTCAATTAAACTCCCCATGTGTGGCATTGGACAGATAAGGACTAAACAGCTCCATCGTGTGGACAAGCTGCAGCCTGCTGATGGTTAGTGTTGTACTCATGGTTGTACTGCGTTGTTGAAAAAGTATTTTTAATAGTTTTGTATTTTCTAATATACAATCGTAGCTCAAACGGGTACTTGTTGGTTTTAGAATCACAGATTTGTAAAAAAAAATAGTCCACCAAAATATATTTTTTATTATAAACCGTTTTATTCACAACATGAATAAAACGTTAACAAGATAGATAGTGTGTCATATTTATGGCTTGAGATAGCCATACTTAACATTAAGCAATTTTTAATAGGTATGTATTGTGTATTAATCAAGAGAGGGCAAACCTTGCATGGTGAACCTTTTTATTGATTATGAATATTCATATTCCATAAGCTTTAAATCCTACTGTTTTTATTGCACATACATTATTAAGTAGCTGAAACATCACATTTGTTATTATTTTAATCATAAAATGAGTAAAGGAAGATATGTTAAAGGATGTTTGGATTTGTTATAAGGGAACATTAAAGTCATAATTTCATGGGTCATTCACACGTGATTGTTGTGAATAATGAAGCCCTGTGCAAATCAAAACACGTGTGCAGCCACGCTGGGAGAAATTACGCGCCGGTGCGCACTGCGCGTCTGCCAGCCTCAAGCAGAGCAACATCAAACTTTAACAGCTTAAATAAATATACTTTTAGAAATTAAGAAGCCGAGTTGAGAGATTCTGATCATTCTGATCATTCATCACCTGATCTGTCCAAGTACAAGATCAATTGTACGTTTTTTTGAGTATATCACATTTAAAAAACGAAATGGATCGATAGTTGGAGTGGTAGGAAAAACCTTTGTCAGCTCTCGTCCGAATTGACAAATACATATGTGTCATGTCGGATGAAAATAATTCAGCGGAGTCAGACATTTGCCCTGAAAGTGAGGAATGTGCTGCCGAAGATTTATTTGGCTTTGGAGATGATCTGGAGTTAAATCGGTTCGATGGATTGCCCTTTTCCTCGCGTTACTACAAACTACTGAAAGAGAGGAAGACTCTGCCAGTGTGGAGGGTCAGGTGCGAGTTTGAAGATGCTCTGGTAAACAACCAACTGGTTATTGTGTCCGGGACTGCAAAGACTGGGAGGGGTACACAGGTAAGAATATGCACATTGATATGCATTATAAGGAAAGATAATTAATAAGTGTTTTTTTTAGAGGGATTAATTCAGTTTATATTTATTTTCAAAGGCATTAGTCAGATTTTTTTTCCCTACATAGTCACATGGAATCAGACTGTCTAGCTTCTTTATGACCTTGGGGCATATTAGAGTTCAGGAACAGTGCTCTCCCTTTTACTTTTCTCCACTCAGGGACATGTTGACTTCCTTCAGACTATGCCCAAATACCACAGCATAACCCAATTTGTGTGACATTACTTGTTTTTTTGTCCAGCCTATTCAGTGTAAAACTAATTTGACATGTCTGCTCTCCTTGATTTAATTAAAAAGACAATTCTGCCCAGCGTAACCATATGTATCTAGCACAAACTTCCCACTTTGCCATATTTAAGATTCCAATTCTGTGCGTTTTTGTTACCCCCACTTTTACATGCAAAGAGGACCATTATGTGAGCGTGTGAAGGCTGCCCAGCTCAGCAGATGCTGTTGTGTCACTGTCAGTCTGCCTGACAGCCATGCTTCACAAAGGCTCCAGCAGGGTGTTAGGGGACCTCCTGCTGCTAAGCCCTGATCCGCCTCATGCTGCCAAAGCAATTTTGCATTATGAGCGATAACACCGTAGGATATCTACTGTCACTGTTTGTTTTAGCTGTTGGTGCATCTTAACCTCAGGCTTGCCTTGAAAAAGTGACTTTATGTGAATAGAACATGTTCTGTAAGATGGAGAACTTTAAAGCACTGTCAAAAATGAACGATGAAAACAACATTTAGTGATAACTCTCTTTCAGATCCCTCAGTGGTGTGCAGAGTTCTGTCTGTCTGCCCAGTACCAGCATGGCATGGTTGTGTGCACTCAGACCAGCAGACAGCAGGCTGTAGATCTGGCCTTACGGGTGGCAGACGAAATGGACGTCAACATAGGCCACGAGGTGGGATACACCATCCCTCTGGAGACCTGCTGCTCCTCTGATACTGTTCTGAGGTCTGTTCATAAGCTCTCAATCTGTTTAATATCATCCACAAACTATCATTCCTTTGACGTTGATCCTAAACATGGATGAAAAGTAGTTATCATCTTGAAGCTGCCAAATGTTGTCGCTGCTGTTAAGCAAAAGTTATATTGTCTTGCTTTATAATATTAAAGGAATACTTCACCCACAAAAAAACGGGCTGCAACAGAGAAACTACATCAAAACATCTGTTCACATACTCTCACACAACTAAAGCAAAAGTCTCATGTATCTATATGCTCACTACTTGCCGAACACATGTGCTTGAAAGAAAACCTTACAATTTAACCAATTTAAAACACTATATGAGACTTTGATTGTACGGCATGAGTTTGTAAACTGATGTTTTGATATCATTTTGCTTCTGGTAACTCTAGCGCCGGTTTACTTTAAGAAATGTTCCTGTTTTTGGATCAATTGGTTCAATGCTGAGGCCAGTGGAAATAACAAGGTTGAGTCATTTATACACATATGGTTTTGCGTCATGTATTCCTTTAACACCTCCGACGGCTTCTCTCAGGTACTGCACGGACGACATGCTGCTGAGAGAGATGATGTCGGACCCCTTCCTGGAGCACTACGGGGTCATCATCATCGACCAGGCCCACGAGAGGACAGTGAGCACAGACATACTGCTGGGCCTCCTGAAGGACATCCTGCTGCAGAGGCCTGAGCTCAGAGTGGTGCTCCTGGCCATCCCGCCCTTCACCAACAAGCTGCTGAGCCACTACCACAGCGTCCCCCTCCTCAGCCTGGAGCCCCCGTCCCCTGCTGAGGCGGTGCACAGCCACAGCGGCAACAAAGACTATTTCTTCCCAGCACTGAGGCTGGTGCTGGAGATCCATCGAACCAAAGAGGAAGGGGATGTTGTTGTGTTTTTCGCCTCAGCTGAGGTAAGACACTGTTGCGTTTTTTTAGTAGTGGTTTACCTGGACCAAAGCTGAGATCGGCCCATAAGAACCCTTTATTTTATCTCATGAAGTCCCTAAGTGACACTGAACAGTCTGGTGGGTCATCATGTGCCAGGTCATGTGATTTTGTGTTCCTATAACAACATGTCCAAGATGTCCATGTGCCAGAATTAGCCACCATTTCAAAAGCTTGTTTTTTGTTGCTAAAGGATTCAAGCCATTTAAGAACTATAATGCTTACATAACATGTCCTTTACATATAACCTGTTGTGAAAACATTTCTTGATCAAATTGATATGAAACAAATAGGATAAATATCGTTGTGACATTAATTTCACATCGGGACATTAACCTTACAATTTCTCAGAAAATCTAGAGTGACGTATATGTCACAATTAGAAATATGATCAGTTAATTTAGCTGATTCAATTCCTCAATTCAAAGAATTTTAAACCAAATTATTATTAATACGAATTACTTTACCATGAATGCCCAATGTGACATATATGCAACTTTTCAGATCTCTGACACTATGGGGGGGGGGGGGGTTACTTGTCAGAAATGTGTTTATATGTGGTCTATTTAGTCTAAATTATGTTCCCCTTAATTTCCCCAAAAGTAGAAATGGGTCTGGGTTCTTATGGGTTAAGGAATTAACTTTCGTCTGCAGGAGGTTAACTGTGCCCAAAGCATCCTGCGGAGAGAGGGCACCAGGCTGGGGGCGGAGCTGGGCCGGATGGTGCCTGTGGTCCTGTGCCCGGGCCGGGTTGGGCTACCTACTGCCCTCTCTGACCAACCGGACTCCAAGAAGTCCAGGAGGGTCTTCCTCTCTACCACACAGGGGGAGGATATGTGGTGGGCCGCAGAGTCTGTCAACTTTGTCATTGACACAGGAGTCCAGAAAAAGATGGTATGTGTTTTCCTAACAAAACATATCAACCTTAAATGACCTATGCTGTGTATGCTGATGTTAATGTGGCATGTGGTTTGACATTTTACAGGTGTATAATCCAAGAATAAGAGCTAACTCAGAGGTCCTGCAACCCATCAGTCAATGTCAGGCAGACATACGCAAGCAGCTGTCTGGACCAACAGGTAATTTTAAAAGGTCATAATGAGTTTCTTTCTGATGTTTCCAAGTGATAAAACCACCTGAAATCTCGACTATAATCACCTCTGGTTGGCAGAGAACTCTCTGCTCCATAGCTTCTCTTGATAACTGGACTTCAAATCACACTGTA